GAGTATATCTGGTGTGACCAATACGACATCGTCGTATGATGACCTCTTCAAATCTGGACTGACAACCCAAGTAGGTGTAACCAATGTAGGGTTTTATTGCATGTAATTTATTAATACCTACTTGAGTGTCCCACTTCTTCTGCATCAGATCACGGATGTAGGTTCTAATGCAAGCTTTATAATCAGAATATGGGATAAGAAGTGGTGTCACAGATTTGTTAAGTGCCGCCTTAGCAGCAAGATCAGCCAGTGTATTCCCAGAAATGCCAACGTGGCTGGGTAACCAACAAAAGACGATGTCGCATTGGCCAGTAGCAAGCTCATTATACAATTCAATAATTTCTAATAAAAGTAGATGTATGTAAGAAAGATTTTTAATAGCCTGAAGACAAGAAAGAGAAACGGAAAAGATCATGTAGTGTTTATATTTACGGGGTCTATTGATATATTTAAGAGCAGTTAATATGGCGTTAGCTTCTCCTGTGAAAATGGAGCTGTTATTTGGTAGCCGAGAAGACGATGGATCCATGATCCAGTTTCGAACGTATAAGTGCTCGGTACAGTTGGAGGAGGGTTTTCTGATCCCCTCCCCACTTTGTATTAGAGACAACTTTCAGCAAATCAAGGGACTTCAGGCATTTATTTCTTAAATATTTAATATGAGGTCGAAAGGTCAAGTGCTCATCAAAAATTAAACCCAAGAATTTCGCTTCTTTTACTACCCTAATAGGAGTGTTATCTAAATATAAATCTGGATCTTTGTGAGGCTTGTATTTTCGGCAAAAATCGATACAATTAGTTTTTGATTTTGAAAATTTAAAGCCATTTTCCAAACACCATTGATCAATTTTGTTTAAACAAAGCTGTAGTTGCCTTTCAATAGTATGCATATTTTTCCCACGGCAAGATATATTAAAATCATCCACGAAAAGTGATCCATCAATTGAATCACTTAAAACACTTGCCAAACTGTTTATTTTAATGCTAAATAAAGTGACAGACAAAATACTGCCTTGTGGGACACCCTGGTCCTGATTGTAATGGTCAGACAGGGTAGATCCCACGCGGACTTGAAACTGTCTGTCATTTAAAAAGTTGGATATGAACTGAGGTAAACGACCTCTCAATCCAAAACCTTGTAAATCCTTTAAAATGCCATATTTCCACGTTGTGTCATATGCTTTTTCGAGATCAAAAAAGATAGACACTGCATGCTGTTTATTGATTAAAGCGTTTTTCACAAATGATTCCAAACGTACTAAGTGATCGATGGTACTTCTGTTTTTGCGGAAACCACATTGAACATCTGTAAGTAGGTTATTAGTTTCTAAGTACCAAACGAGACGATTATTAATCATGCGTTCGATGGTCTTGCAAACGCAGCTTGTCAAAGAAATAGGTCGATAATTCGAAGGATCGGTATGATCACGTCCAGGTTTAGGTATGGGGACAATAATAGCATCACGCCATGAGGACGGAAACTTTCCAGATGTCCAAATGTCATCAAAAATATTCAAAAGGGTCTCTAAACATGATTCCGGTAGGTGCTTCAGGAGTTGATAATGGATGTTATCAGCTCCTGTAGCAGTATCGTGGGCCTGGTCAAGAGCAGTTTGGAGCTCATGAATCGAAAATATTTCGTTGTAATCTTCCCCATTATCTGAATTGAAATTAATAGATTTCCGTTCTTGCTGGTTTTGATACTTTTGAAATTTAGGTACATAATTAGAGGAGGAAGAATGTTTAGCCAGTGTCTCACCAAGTTTATTTGCAATATCTGATTTATCAGTCAATAACTGATTCCCATCTTTCAGATGTTGAATGCTAGATCTAGAGCCCTTACCCTTGATTTTCTGGATCATATTCCATACCTTCGAAAATGGCGTACGTGCATTGATTTTAGACACAAAGTTTCGCCAAGATTGACGTTTATTGTGCTTAAAAGTACGCCTTGCTTTAACATTTAAAATTTTAAATTTGTTCAAATTATGGACCATGGGATGGCGACGGAAATAATGCTCAGCCTTTTTCCGCGCCTTGCGAGACTGTTTGCAGTCATCATTAAACCATGGTTTGCGTACGTGAGGAATTACAGAGGACTTTGGGATACACTCGTCAGCTATGTTATGCAAATCATCAGAAAAGCATTTTATAGCATCAGGGACATTAATGAAAATTTCAGGTCTAAGCTTGTCAGTACAGAGAGTTTCAAATAAGTGACAATTGGCTTTTTTAAAATTCCATCTCGACACTTGAGGAACATCAGATGGATTCACGGGTTCTAGTATTGTAGGGAAGTGGTCACTTCCACAGAGGTCGTCGTGGACTGACCATTCAAATTCAATCAATAGGTTGGAGTCAGTAATTGACAAATCAAGAGCTGAATAAGTTCCTGTGCCAGGATGTTAATATGTATTTGAACCATTATTATAAATGCATACATTGTTATTCATAATGAAATCCTCCAGAATTTTGCCTTTAGCGTTTGTTGTTGCACTACCCCAGAGTGGATTGTGTCCGTTTAAATCACCCATGATTATACATGGTTTAGGCAATTCATCGTACAGAGCTTGGAGTTCCGCTAGTTGGACAGTTGATGAAGGCGGAGTGTACAAAGAGCACAAAGTAACTGCAACATGCAAAGTGAGTCGTACTGCAGACTTGTTTTAAGTATAACGGGGCTGTGGATTACATCATTCTTAACAAGGATTGACGATCCTCCAGTGGCCCTGTCTCCTGGAGGAGAAAAATAGTGATATGAATTATACTGACGCAAGTCAAAATGATCTGTCTGCTTCAGACATGTCTCTTGTAAGCAGAATGCTGACGGTTTAAAATCTTGGACTAAAAGATGTAAATCATTCAAATTTGTCCTGAGTCCTCTGCAATTCCATTGTACTAGAGGTGATGAAACTATCTCTTCGGGTGATTAACAGGAGATCGACCCCTTACCTTTCTTGAGGGTGACAAGCTATGTGTCCTGCCATGGTTGTGATCGGACACATCCATGTCCTCGAGTGATCCAAACTTGTTGAAGAGTTGGACCTGGTTATCAGCCCCTTTGGGGGTTCTACCACTTTGATGATTCTTTTTTTTTCGTTTCAGATCCAGATTTTAATTTGCTCTTGTCAATGTGTTTCTCATTCACGTCTGCTTTAGATTTTGATGCTAATTTGGACGAATCCTTATCGCAAGATGCCTTTGATTGAATGGTTGTTTGAGTACTGGATGTCTCTTTTGAAGGTGTCACTTGCATTGCGACAGATAATAAAGTAGGGGCAGAGGATTTTTCCCACGTATATTCTGTCTGGCTACTTACTGATTTACAAGAAATAGATCTGGGAGGCGGAGGTGATGTTTTAGCGGAAGCGACTGTGGCATAAGATGGGCCAGAAGTTTCTTTGCCTCTGAAAAGGTTATATTTCGGTCATGTTTGACCTGTGAAATTCTATTTTGAAGTTTCCATGTTGGGCATTCTTTGGAAGATGAAGGATGACTTCCAGAGCAGTTTACACAGGCTGGTGGTTTATCACAAAGGTTGCTGTCTTCACACTTCCCACCACATCGGTGGCAGGCAGCTGGGTTATGGCATGATTTAGAGCCATGGCCATACTTTTGGCAATTGTAACACCTCAGAGGTTTAGGAATGTAGGCATCTACCTTAATCAATCTGAGATTGGGTCACAAAACTGGTCATTCGGTGAATGTATACTCTGACATGAATTCTATCAATGGTAATCGTGTAAATTGTTTTTTGGGATTTGAACCAGAGGCAGGTTAAAATGTCGAAGAAACACATACGAGTAATTGCAAGAATTGGACGATGTGTGCACGAAGAATGACATATGCTGGAAAAATGGCTAGCAATGTTCAAGTTAAAACGTCAGAGAACCAGACGCTTATCATGAGCGAATTAGTGGGTTTAGTTTTACGCTGCTTTTACCAATATTCAAGCAATATAACGCCAGGGGACACCATATTGGACTTTACACATTGTGCCCATTTGGGGCATGGAACGCGGATCTTCAGCGTAAGCTTATCAAGAAGGGCAGAGGTAACATAACAGCTCTATTCATCATTCTGGAAAAAGTTCGACATGCCACTCCTCCTGGAAAATGATGATGGTGAGATATTAGTTTGCGTCCGTCTGGTACCTCGCAGCGTGACGTTCCTCGTAGACTGAACGTCAACAAAACAATCAATGTATAAACTATACCCGTAGTGGTCTTCCACCAGTAATGAACCCATGTCAAGACATATGGATTCGAACCACGTACCTTTCAGGGTAGGGTCAGGAACCCCTACAGTCCGTAAACTTACGTGCCAATAAAGGCGTATCTGTGAAAACAGTTTGACTACGTCTACGCGTCTGTGGCATTCGGGTGAGACGCCAAGCGCGACGTCGAGTTCTTTAGTGGACCAGACAACACGTACGATGGGAATCACGTATGTGGAGATTTCTCTCCTGAGAAATGTTTCCGAGCTGACGACGGGAGACGTGTCTACAGGCTTAGGAAGACGTTACATCAGGTCATGTGTTTTGGTGGGGGATAATTTCCGAGGAGGTGGCATTATGTTATGGGATTGGCTAACAACTGAAGCAGGGACACCAATGAATTCGATGAGGGGGAACTTGAATTTGGTGAGGTATCCAGTCGAGATTTCTTAAATGGCCGGTTTACAGAACGGCCCTAGAGTGACGTTTTAACACGATAACGCCGGGCCACACGTTGATCGAGCTGTACAGCAATATCTTAATCAGAAAAATGTTAATGTGATACCCACTGATGTGTCACCTGATCACATCTGGGATGAAATGGAGAGACGTTTACGACGTCATCCGAATCCAACAATGATGCAGGAACTTCACCAAATCCGACTTACATCGACGTTCAGTTTCCTGACTGAGGCGAAGGTGCCAGGAATGCATCACAGCACACGGTCGACACACTTGCTTGTGAAACCCCTCCTGTGTAATATTCTCATTTGTATATGTGAGTTAATATTTAACGTCACATCGGCAACATTTCAGCCACACCGTGACGAGAACATTTTACACTGAAATGGAACATGTGTATATTACAAAACCTGTCATCGAATGACAGTAATACAACTAGAATATCACAACTAGATTTATAACTAGTGTTGAAGGTTAACACTAATAGTACTATTAGCACAATACAAGATAAAAACAGGATATAGATCGCCAACAACTGAAGGTAGATCACCATACTAGGGACCATGGGGACTAACACTTGTATATGTAAGGTGCGCGGTTCTTATGGACTGTTGGTCGTTATCATACCATGAAACACTTGTCATTCCATGTTATGACATTTCATTCTCGACAGTAAAGGTTTAATACTCATTCTTGTTGCTTGTATGTCACACATTGTAAGTATTTTTTTTCACTTGCACGTGTACATACAAATCAATATTTAACGTTCAAATATGTGACTGATCTTTTTGGAAAATAGAACGAGTAGTTTGAAATCACTGAATGATATATCACTTTTCAATACTACTATGGCAGCAATGGTATGGTATACATGAGGAGACAATTTCCAAAGTTGAGCATCAGTGAAAAAAAATTGTCAGATGAAAAAACTTTTTTTGACGTGAATAATACGTTTCCGTGTTTCAACAGGTGAACAACAAGAATCAGTATTGGACTTTTGCGAAGTTCCATACTTAAGCATACTAATAGTTCTCTATATCTTTCATTTTCCCAGAGGTGTAGCATGCAGAACGAAGTTAGGTGATAACTATTGGTGTAGTTTTTCTCACCTCTGCGCTTCTTATATTAAGATTGAATTTTGTGAAAATGGCAGGTTGTCGGACCTGTAAGGTGAATCTTGCCGACTGTTTTTCTCAAATATGTTATGCTTAGTGCATCTTTCGTGCAAATTCGAACAAAAGGTCTTGCTTGCGTTTCTTCTACAATTTTAACACACTCTTCCTCTGCTTCGAATCTGAACATATCATTCACACGATTGCCAATGAAAACTTTTCATTTCACAATACATTTTGCCTCCAAACATATTAACGCATTTCTTATTTACCAGAATGGTTATTACGATTTACTGCAGTTTTCATTACATTTTACATTACATTTTTACGACAATTTGTCTATTCTATTTCACACACTGTTTAGTTATTTCTGAACATATAAAGTAACTAGTTTCTCCAAGAGGTCATTGAACGTTTTGTTATCAATGTTACCAATAGTATTTAATTTCAAGTAAATAACAGGTATATTATCATGTGAGAACTCTAAATCCACTTCTTTCCAAGAGTTCTAAGCATACCCATGGTTTTAGATGTCAAACCAAATTGGATAAATAATTGCTTGATGAGGTAAAACCATTTATTGCTAAATAACAGTTTGTAGGTTAATACATTAATGATTTGATGAGGTTGGTGGTTAATTACGCCCCAGCATGGTGAGGTAAGGCTACTTTGCATGGAATTTGTCCATAGGTCAATTGACCATTACAATAGATTTGACTAAATGAAAACATATAATGTATACAAATACTAACTCTTGTATATTATGCAGACATTGTTTCAATCTAAATGTTTGATTATGATCTAAACTTACCAACTAATGGCGGATATTCCTGAATATGTATTTCAGATGATATTTTAGGATTAAGACATCTAATCCGATTTAGAATAGGTGTCCAACAACCATTGTTTGGGGTGGGATGTAACCCGATGAATCGCTTTTTGCAGGCTCGGTTCTTTGTCAATTTCGTATCATCGTACCCCTTCGGCTTGCATCGTTCCTCATAATATCAATCACTGATTTTGTCAGGTCAGGATTCGGTTATTTACCGACCGCTAACATTTAGCTGGCATATTGGTGAGTGTGGTTTTCAACAAAACAAGTTCAGGTATTAAACTACATTAAAAAAAACGAAAACATACATCATTAATAGTTTTATGGGGAATTGAAGGTTTAAATGTATTTTGATTGTAAACATGTTTTTCCAAGATTATTTTCTGAGAATGATTGTTGCCTCATTTCTTATTTTTTTTATTTTTCATGTTTACAAATTTACAGTTCGGTTTACATTTACAACAGTGTATATACACACAATTTGACATATATGAGGTGCATAGAATACAGTGACCTTTACAATGTACAGTCAATGAGGTAAATTTATATAAATCAAATTTTCAATATAGTATGTAACGATGACCAGATTTTAACAAAAATATCGTTTTCACAAGAAACTGAATAATTATACTTTGTAATGTCGTAGTACTGCTTAATTTGCCCTTATACATACCCGAAAAAAGGAATGTTCATTTTTTTGACTGTTTTTGAATATAATGTCTTTAACAAGTAAGATAACGGCGTTAATACGATTGTTATTTCTTCCTTTGCTTCCGAGCAATTGTTGCCTAATTTGATTAAGAATGTCATCCCTCTTGCGTTTTCACATGAATCCATCATTCATTTAAAACGTATTAGGTAAACCATATATACTGACCTATGTAAAGTCTTTAAACACATCAGGGCTATTGCCACGTTATCGACTGTGACATGTGCACACCTGAAGTGCTTCCTAAACAAAATACTCTATCGTGGTTCACGGTTAAGCTGAACAATTGACTTGCCTTTGCGTGTGTCTGATCGATGGGACGGGAAGCGATCACCGTTTTGCTAAAATATTGAATCACTCTTTGATTTAAATATACATTTTGCTGTGGCTAGAATAGGCTCTGTTGTTTCTGACATTTCTAATGATTAAGAAACTCTTTGTATGGCTTTGATACTTAAAAGGTTTGAGTAGAAACACCATTTTATTTTGGCTTCTAGACAATGTTTCTTCTACTTCAGCCAGACCGATTCACAGCAGAGAAGACCAGCAGCTTCCTCAACAACAACACAAACATCACGAAGGTCCTCTTCCTCCTCGCTTTCATGACTTTCGATGAGCAGACATTTAGTTTTGTTACTTTGTTTACAATATTTTGTGTACTCGGCAAACATTTCGTAATTTTTAAAACATAGTTAGGTGTAAATTACTGTTAGTCACACGTCAGATTGGTTCCGAAAGGTAAATTGAGCCTGAATGGATTATTTGGGAATTGCTTTGAACATGTGGTCAAAGTCTTCTCTTCCTGCTCGCCAATAAATGCGGGAACAGCTACGAATTAACTTTAGATAGATAAAAACGTGAAATTCCAACTTGTGTTAAGCAAACTACGAAAAAATTCATGAGCAGTGTGGAAATGGTGATTGAACGTCATATTGGATAGGCGTTTAGTGTTTTGTCAGCTTTCGTCGGGGCATTGCTAGACAATGCCAGATAGTGTGTCTATGGACGTAGAACCGACGAGGAATCTGCGAGGTAGCAGACTGAAGCATATCAACATGTCGAACTTGTTCCAGAACGATTAATAGAGGTGTTGTGTTTGTGAACTCTGCACTTAAGACTGCATTAAGTGAAAATGATAAGCTAGAGCAAGTATATGTGGATGACAACTTCTTTTATTGTAGAGCCCGACGATTCGATAGAGGTTCTTGTATCGTTTTCAAGTAAGAATGACATATTTGAAAACGATACAAGAACCTGTATCGAAACGTCGTGCTCTACAATAAAAGAAGTTGTCATCCACATATACTTGTTGTATCTGACTTCCAACTTATAAAATGCCACTCAAAGAAGTCAAAATGATAAGCGTCTGGCTGTCTGGCCTTTTAAAGTGAATATTTATGGCCAGTGCAAACATTGCACGTCCCAATAACATTTGTCTCTAAGATAGATAAGATAATGCTTTATTATCCCGAAGGAAATTTGCTTTGCACGGTTAGCATTGAAGACACAAACACTATAACAAAAGATACATATACATAAGACCACAAAAAGACCCATACATATGTCAAATATTGCTAAAATACCTAGCAACAACGGCCAATATATGAGGCATAACATTAAAACAAAAGAAATCTTAAATCCTGTCCTTTCCACATGTTGTAGGCATACCTATGGTTTTAGATGTCGAATCACATCAAATAGATAGTCGCTGATTGCCAAATAACAGTTAGTAGGTCAGTATATTAATGATTTGATGGAGTTCGCGGTAAATTATGCCCCATTATGCTGGGGGCTGGCAGCTTTGCATGGAATTTGTTCACAGGTCAAAGGAATTAACCAGTACATTACATGTGACTAAATGAAAACATATAGCTTTTTTTTTTTTAATTTCCATTTTTATGTTACAATTTTCATTACAGCAGTTTCAAGTAGTTTATACATATACTAGCTGTAGTATACTCAACATATATTTTAAAAATGTTTAATCATGATATAAACTAATCAAGTAATAGCGAGTATCTCTGAATATGTATTTCAGGTGATATTTTAGGATTAAGACTTCTGTAATTCTGATCCGATTTAGAATCGGTGTCTAATAGCTTTTGTTTTGTAGTGAGAGGTAACTCAAAGAATCGCTTTTGCAGGTTCGGTGCTTTGTCAGTTTCGCATCATCGTATGTCTTCGGCCTGCATCGTGGTTCATAATATTAATCACTGATTGTGTCGGGTGAGGATTCGCGTATTTGCAGAACGCTAACATATAGTTTCGATATTGGTGAGGGTGGTTTTCAACCAAACAAGTTCAGGTATTGAATGACGTTTTTTTTAGAAACAAATACACACTAAAATTTCGCTTCATACACAATAACCCTACATGCATTCCATAAACATACATCATTAATAGTTCTCTGTGTGATTTGACGATTTAAATGTATCTTGATGGTGACCATTTTGTTCTGAGATTAATTTCTGAGATTGAGATTGCTGCCTCATTTGATTCAGAATGTAACCCATATTGCGTTTTCACATGAATCCAACAAATACAAAGATACAAAGACATACTAAAACGTAAATAATGAACCATATAATGCTGACGCATGTAAACTACCACTACAAAGTTATCTGTAATATGTGCACACCTTACGTGCTTTCACAAAAAAGCACTCTAGCATGGTTCGCCGTTTCAGTAAAACAGTTGCCTTTACATGAGAATGCGATCACCACTTTGCCAACATCTGGAATCAACCTTTGATTCAAAATACATTTTGCTGTGACTGGAATCATTCAAAAACTCATTTTATGAATTGTATGTGTAAAACGTTTGAGTTATAGCTCCTCCTACCAACTACTAGTATAAAGATAAATCCTTACCCAGTTACATTGTCTTGTTGGTATGTTTCAAAATTAAACTAGAAGACAAAGTCATCAATATCCCCCCCAATGGCAAAATACTTTTCATGAATATGTACACACGTTTTGACTATGTCCAATGCTTTGGCATGTATTAGCAAAGTGGGAGGTAAGTATTTAAAGGTTTTGAAGTTCTGCTCCAAAAAGAAGTACTACCACCAAACTCAGTCGAAGTCAAACTTGTTGCCATGTAAACGTAAAACATATTTTATTCAAAATTCCAAAACTACCACGAGGCAACAGTTTCCTACCAGACCTATCTATGTGGCAAGTGTGGTGAAGAAATAGCGAACGGTTTTAAAGTTCTGCTCCGGAAAAGAGCACACACACCAATTTCAGTCAAAGTTAAACTTGTTGCCATGGAAACGCAAAAACTATTTTATTCAGAAATCCCAAACTACCAAAAGGCACCACTACACCACCAAAAACCTATCCATGGGCCAAGTTTGGTGAAGTAATAGTGCTCCGGAAAAGACGAATATACACGGGCGGACTGTCGAGTTCATTTTCCTACACCCCCACAAAATGCGTTGCCAATGCCAGAGTCACAAAACATGGAATTGAAACTAAGAAATCCAACTAGACATTTCCCTTGATTGTGGAAAGGCCTTTGGTATCAAATAGACAGGCGAGTAGAACAGTTCCAAAGGTTTCATAAAAGACAATGTAAGTTCATAAACCAACCCTTAAATGTGTCACTATTTTGTTTAAAAGACAAAAAAGTTGATTTGAGATATTATCCTAATGTATCAAAAGATTTCCAACAAACCCTTCGTGCTTGGCCTTATTAAAACAAAGCATGATTTACTAAAATAAGACTTGCGGTATTTGTTTAAATTGGTCTTAAACTAACTTCTTTTTAGTGGCATTTTAGAAGCTCGGAAATACAAAATAGACAAGCTTTATGGCAACGTTACAAAAAATCTGTATCGAAACGTAGCGCTCTCGTAATAAAGAAGTTGTTATCAATAAAGTTTGTCTATTTTGGCCTTAAACTATATATGTGAAACACCCTGTTCCAACCAGATACTTGGCCTCGTCTCGAAGAGGAATTACAACTAGAAAACATGTACCATATCTTTAAAAGGCATACACAGTATACAGAAAATATCACTTTGTGAATCAATGAGTGGAAGCCCGGATAAACATTTGAATGTATTCTGAAGGTAAATGGTGCCTTCCAAACTGCTCTAAAGTGTGATAAAACCGTATATTTAGGAAAAAACAAACCAAAGTGCACGTATCGATATCCTAGTATCCTAATTTTGATAGATACTTTTGAGTATAATATGCGTATGTTACTTTGGTGTCTTCTTTACTTAAAATATTCCTTAACATTTTGGAAACCATCATGCAACTATCGTGACCGTTTCACCAGTGTTCACCACATTCCAGACATTTTCTCAAGTCAATTCAGAAATGTTAGTTCTTGCAGGATTTTTTGATAAAAAAGATTCGGTTTAATATTGGAAATATTCGCAATCGTATTTAAGAACGTTTCTTAGACATTTAAATCTTTAACATGTTTGTTCCAAATCATTTTATCAAATTGAAGATATTTTGATCCATGTTTGTATCGTAGTCTAATTTATAATTGGTTTATTCAATAGGGGGCCACAGGCCCATTATACAGTTACATGAGTCATATCATGAAAGTGGAAAATCTGGAGCGCCATAGCACTGTACAAGATACATCAATAAACATACACTTAATGGAATGTACAGGTTTTGTTAAGGTAATTGTTACGTTGTTTGAATGCAAGGAACAAAAACTTCGCTAAACGATTTAAAATACCTGAATCGTGTGATGTGCAAAGTAATACCAGTTTATCATAAGAAGGATGAGTACAATAGAACTCAGGCAAAATTGTATCTCTGAGATTATAGTAAAAAGGACATTCCAAACACATGTGATATTCTGTCTCAATTACAGGTATAACACAAAATGGACATAATCCAGAATTTCTTGTCAGACCAGATTTTCTTCCAGACTCTATCATTAACTGATGGCCTGAACAGCGAAATATATTAAGAGCCTTACGATAAGCTGGTATATCCAGACAAGTTAAATACACCTCTCTCTCAAAAGAAAGTTTCATGTTACAATATAAATTCACTTTAGGATAGGAATAATTAGGTATTTTATGCTTCTAAAATTAGTTTTAAATTTGTGTGTGCGATACACGGCTAATTATACCGTCCTTTGATGACAATTGTTAAGGTATATTGATACATAACAACTTGTTCCAATCACAATATACGTGAAATAATCCCGGCATGACTTTAACTTTTAACTCAATTACTATTTGCATAGGAATGGACTAACAGATCACTGCTCTTTAGCATTCAGTCACTATTTATCAAGTTTCATGAATGATAACTCAGTCTGTTCGAAACTTAATTTTGCCACGTAAAATATCTTGTTAGAAACACAACTGTCTTACATACTACAATGCTGATTGCAGATTATAACACTGGCATAAACCATAAAGATTCACAACACACATTTCTTGATCAAAATATTTTTCAAAAACTAAACTACATATTTTCAAATGTGTCAAATATCTTCATCTATCATTTGGAAGAACTAACAGATAACTAAAGTATCACTGTTATACTTATATTTGTAATGAAATCACTTATCTACTTGCAATTAAAAGTATAAATAAATATAATGATTTTTTTTCAAATAAAGACGAACAAAGTCCATTTGTTCAAATCTGAAAGGATAAAGTACTTACCAGCCGCTAAAAGATAGTTCCCAGTGTCTACTAAAATAAACTGTCTCTACTTCAAATTTCATTTTACACATTATAGATTTTGCAAAGCAGCAATTTGCAACAATTCATTACGAGAAACGGGCTATTTCACCCGCGGCAAAATTGTGGTGGGGTTACGTGGGTGGTGTTTCAGAAGCGGCAGACCCCCAGCAGTGCATAAAAATGTTGATCATCTGCGAAATTTTCAAATTATCATGTCAATTGATCGCCAGTTAGCGTCACCTCATGCTGATTTTTTGAATGGATAATATTGATAATTGTGTTTTCATTATGATATTTAAGGGGTAATTTCCGACAAACCAATTAGCAGAATGTGTATATAAGAAGCTTGAGTTTTCGATTCAAGCACATTCTACCGACTCGACGTCATACACCAGAACCAACACCATCAGCAGCAGCAGCTACTCAGAACATCATCATCATGAAGGTCCTTGTCTTGCTCGTTCTTGTTGGATTCGGTAAGTGTTTCACTTTGTTAAGAATGTCTCTCTAGAAAGAAAATTATAACAAGTCTTCCATCAAGCAAGTGTGGGTATTTTTGTTCAGGTTGTTGTTTATTGCAAAACCTCTTTGTTATAAAAACTGAGTTCAGTTCAGGTTTACAACATTCAAGCCCTTACTTTAGCTTTGAAAATGTTACATAGTACACATTGCGAAGTCGTTTCCCATTTGCCCGGTGCTATTCGGGATTCCCTTGTTGTACATGTAGCACTTGACAGGCGTTTGCAAATATTTCTGACCACTTTATGACCAGGCGATTCCCTGGTGCCATCACTATTGGCATAACAGATAATCATTGAAAATTAGGAATCTTATAATGGGCCTTGTTTCTAGCTGCTGTTTTCAATGATTATTGACAGGGACTACGAGAAAGTATGTGGCCACAATGAGAGTAGTCTTGACCATGTACCTTGTGTACAGCAATGAAAATTGGCATGACTGCCATGGTCGAAAACTTTCAAAATCATTGGATATAAATAGTTCTGACAATGAAATCCATTCTGACTCGGACGGGTACATAAAGTATGCGGTCTGGACTGCCAGTTGTCCCACCAGCCTGTCGAAACCTTAGTTATAACTTATTTGGTCATTCACATTCCAAATCATCCCAGCTACCTACTTGGTAAAGGTTCATTTTTTACACAAGATGCATGTACTTCAATGAAAGTTTACAGTGTGAAATATATATTTTCAAACTGATGGAAAAAACCATCCATTACTGCGAACAAACACGCAGAATGGAGGAATTACAATACTATGGCAAAATACCCACATTAAAAATACAAGGCTGTAAAATTGTTGGCACACCCAGTAGCAAGTTCTGTTTCTATCACCCAGCCGCCTACCAGGTGACAGAGGCCCGTATGAACGCCTTCTCCTGCTCCAGTGACTGCTTCAGTTACCTTGAAGGACCCTACTGCATCTCCAACGGCTCCGTCGTGTGTGACAACTGCGTCAGGGACCAGATGCTTTGCCAGTAAGATATTTAACTCACATTTCTGTTTGACTTCGTGAATACTCTGTTTGTGAACTAATCTGACAGTAGTTCAGTAACTGTAACTTCAAATGCTATGCCTCAGTTTATGAAAAGTGGCTACCCATCAACTACTAATAATACAAAAGTCGATCTGCCATTGAAGATGTGATGTTGTGGAACTCGATCTGTTATGAAACTGAAGAATGGAAGAGGTAGAACTCACTTTTAAAGTAAAAGTAAGAGATCCCCTTTAAGCCTCAGTTCTGGAATCGGACATCTGCGGATTGACGTGGTGTAACGATCCTTTCATTAGCAGCTAGGATTCGAACAAAGATTTCCAACCGGGTCTCACATGTTGTGGAATATGTGAAATATATGTTTGTGAGATAAACTTCGATAAGATTCAGGCACGCATGTGTTAGGTTGCTTGTACTGGTCCGAGCCTCTGTTATCGTTATGCTACTAGTTTAGTGAGATACCATGCAACAGTGCGGATCCCCTTAGATATAATACTGCCCAGATCAGGCCGTGCTAATGGATTTTATCAAAGTGCTATATATTTTCAAGACTGAAACATGGCCGGCCAGTCATAAGCTCTCTCTTCTGAAAGCATAAGAAGGCAATTGTAAGGTATTGGATGATCACTCTTCAAAACATGATCTTCCATAGTGCAATGACTCTGTGGTACCGAAATGAGCAGTCTCGGCTACCAGCAGACTTTGACCCACCCGAAATTCAATAACACGTTCGACAATTATCTATAATGTTTCTGTTTCTTTTCAGGGATACCTCTTTGTCCTCAAGCGACTGCAAAGAAGCATGCGATTAGATGGAAAGACTGAAAGTGACTTGCAGGCCCCCGAAGGAAAAGTAAAGAATAGCTCATTCACCTGAATAAATAATATGCATTTATCCTGTGTTCTCTTCTTCATTCTCGGGTCTGGAATTGTCCTTATTCTAGTTTGTCATGTGCTATTACACATAGTTCGTATTGTGTTCTCTTCTTCATTTTCGGGTCTGGAATTGTCCTTATTCTAGTTTGTCATGTGCTATTACACATAGTTCGTATTGCCAGTGCATTCAGCTCTCGGGAAGACCTGATCAGCAGCGAAAGGCACGTTTTGTATTTATCTGTTAACATGGACACGTTTGGGAAAACATTAGAAATCATAGGAAAACAATTGGAATATTGAATATGATGTTCGTAAGGTAAAAAGAAAAAAACCTAAAATCCCCGGAATTTAATCAGTTATGAAGCATAAAAAATACTTTGAATAAAAACCTTAAAATCGAACTAGAATTAAGGAACCAATCGGAAAATATGTGAGAAAGGTGAGAATCTCGAATCTTGACGTCATAGTGGAGAGTTGACGTTCAGACGATAAATGTTTCTGTCTGCGTTCGCGATGACATCACCAGACAATGCCACAAATACAAACGTTGAAATGTCAGTCAGTGACTTCACACATACAAGTCCAATCAGTGTGAGCCTATGAGTAATGAAAATTTTCTTGGCAGCAGCCAGGAAGCTGACACAGCTTGATGGCGTCAGTACGATCAATTAGATGTCACCACAGAGACCCTATATTTTTTATTGTCAGGGCTTATGTCGACATCTTCATTTCATCAGTGATAAACGTGGCGTAAAACCATACTCACTCACTCACCCACTCACTCACTCACTCATTCGTCCACTCTTTAAAATCCATCTTAAATGTCTTTAAAATAATCCTCAACATTTGGGCAACTATAACGCACTTTTGCGCCATTATTTCACGCCAATTATAATCAGCGTTGATATGTTATCGCACCACAGCGTACTTCCCTTGTCTTCTTTGAGCAATAGAACTGGCCACAGCCTACCAAATTCTGCAAAGGACGAAGTGTGTTATCCTGGGTGTCACTCGTTTCACATGGGTTGAGTTTCATAAGGTACATGTCGTCAAACCCATTTTGGATGTGCACCCAGACAATCTTTCCAGGAAATCGCTAGGTCATTGGCTTTAAAATTATACACAATGGACATCTTGTCCTGAATGAGGATTCAATATTTACGGGAGTGGCTAGATTCTTCAAGTGATCAACATATCAGACACTGTTGAAACACAAACATGATGATCGTGTTGAACTACTATATGGGGATTTTCACTTTCAGGGACCTCAGCCTGACCTCCAGCGACTGTAACAGTGCCTGTGATTAGTTGGATTGACTGATGATATGACGATACAAATGTAGATGTTGCTGAATGTAAACTTGATGACATATACAGGAATAAATATGATGCACTAAGTTCGGGTTTGTTTTCTTTGAATGCATTTCTACAGTACGTATATTGTTTTGTGTTATGTTTACGATTTCGATATTTTGATCTTGTTTACAATCGTCAAGGCCCACGTTTGTAACACGATTTATGTAGACATATTGGACCTTTTCAAATTTTACGCATCAGTCAAAACATATCTGGTGTAATTCTTCATTTGGACTTGTTCCATGTGTTCCCGTTTGGTTCGGGTGAACACTTGACCTGCTTTTGCATGTGTTTGTGAGGCGAACACCTCGGAATCGTTTTTGTATTTTCACAGTTATGTATATGGAAGGGTATTTGTCACTTTTATTGCAGTTGCTAATTAATACATCCGTGTACACAATGTGGTGGAAGATATAATAAGAGTTTGCTTGAAACGTGTTTAGTAACATACTGGATGCCCAAACTGTAACATCTCATGAGCCAATGAGCCGGATTACAATTGTGAAGTCTCGACCAGGAACTAACGCATCGGCTTCAAACCCAATTTTGATGGTGGGAAGTTTACAGCAGACAACCATTCCGTTCTTTGATTTTCACAAACATATACTCTTAAAAAAAAGTCGGGGAACTTCATTTTTAATTTACGATTGAATAAATTGATCAATGTTGATATGATAACAATGAATGTTTTGAGTGTGCATAGCCACTCGGACTTCCTTATGACCATAGAACTTTGTTTGTGCAGTAAACGCTCGTGAAAGATGATTGGTGTATGACGTGAAATTTGCAGGTGTACGAATTCCGTTTTCAAACAACAACAACAACAAAACAAAACCCCGCAAAGAAACAAACACTAATAACTGTGTGATGGAAGATGATTGTCAAAATTAATGGTCTACAGTAATTGATTGACCTTCTTGAAAACCGTCAACATCACGAATGACACCCCATGCAGGTTTCTGGGGCTACTGCGTTGTGGACGTGCATCCCATGCGTTGTGTTTAGGGGTGATGATAAAGAGGAATGGTGGTGCGTTCATACGATGTTTGTCTTTGATAGGTCTTTTATTGCTTATACTTCCTATCCAAATTGAAAGTTTAGGTACCTCTAATTTTTGAAGAGTATAGTACAACAAGCCATTGGTATGGTAATGGTCGGACATTAGATCATGCCTTACAAAAGGCAATGTTTATACCTGGGCTATTTACATTTCTGTTAAGCTGTAGCAGATACTTCTACTTGGTTAACGCTACATTAAGACATATTCCTTGTGCGAGACAACAACCTGTAAATGATAGGTCCGATGAGTGAATGATAGCTTGAGCAACGTCACAGTTTACTTGACAATTAATCCGGTCACAGTTCCTAACCACCAGGCCTATAGAATTGCTTTGTCACAAAACTGCAATCTGTAATTCCGGAGATGTTCTTAAACCGAATTAGATGATGATGTGATGTAGTATGTAGCTCCTACCATTCCCTTGCTCCTGTGGAATACGTTTTAAGTTGAACTATCATTTATGTATCTCTGCTATCATGAATTATTACACTCAAATGCTGACTACCTAACAGTGATTATATCTTGTGATAGAACCTGGCAGTGGTTGCATTCAAACAGTCGAGAGTGGTTCTGATTACCTACAAAACACCAGTGGCAACATGTAAACCATTCACAGTGTCTAATTATTGACGATATATGACCAGAAGAGTGAAACGTACCTTCTCGGAAATGTTTGTCACGGACCCAGGCCAAAACTTCATTAACTGAAACCTTTCGTTGTCCTGACTAACCAGAAGCCGAGATCATGATGCACGTCCTCGTTCATCTGCTGTGAAACTGTTTTAGATAACTTACACAGTAGCAGTGGTGCAAATCAGATAACTGTTAAGCTGCCCTCTATGTTTGAACTATGTTGCTGCAAAACCTGTGAATGCAGAAAATATATTTTATATATCCACCAGAAATCAATTTTGGTACAATGGCGAGGTCTTTATATACAATATGTATGTGATAAAAATATTTCTATGGTAACTTTGTAACCTTAATAGTGAGTGAGTGAGTTAAAATTTAACGTCACCTCGGCAATATTTCAGCATATAGTGACAAGAAAGGTTTTGCATGTACCCTTAATAACTTTGTACTGTAATAGTCATTAGTCAAAAACTGCCCAAAACTTTGAAATGATTGTTAATGTTTATTGTTTCGAGGTGTGACATAAATAGACAACTCAACCATTGGAATGGCAAAATGTATGCAACTACCCTAATATCACTCCCAAGAACTTTTCATTATACATATATGTAATTACATGCTATCTGCATCAATGTACTCCTAACAGGTTCATTACAGTGATTAACACTGTTGCCATAACAGTTTCCTGTGATTGGTCTGTTGACATACGTGCGCCCAAAACCTTTAATTGCCTCATACGACACGAGGAATGATGTTGCTAATTACTGATGAAGTACTGCATGTTCATTTTAAACAGAATGAATCTATAACAAACAAACACTCAAGGAATGGTTCTGGAATTGTGTCAGTGGTAATTTTCAGTGTCATGTTCTCAGAATTTATATGTATATTACTATTAATAGCTTTACAAAGAAATACGATTTTGAAGTTGAAGTTAAGGCTTTTTCTATTTAAAAAATCCGAAAACGAAACCCCAGTAAAATTGCCAATTCTCTTCCATTGAACATTAACCAAGGGCGACTACTACAACCGCCTTTGTTGTATCATATTCAGATCTGTACAATAAGATTCAAAGAGACAAAAACTGTTGACAGCAGTCTACGAGAGAGAGAGATGACTTTCTCTTTTCAACTGTCCAAATACATCACCTAAAATTGCAGCAGCTCCAGTCTTAGGGTCTGCATTTCACAACTTTTGATGCACAATCGAGTCTATTTTATGTTCATAGAGCGTCATACGAGTGAGAGAGTTAAATTTTTAGTATTTATGGCAGTATTTCAGCCATGTCGTGACTTTACCAAGTTATATATTTATAATAATTATAAGAAAATTTTAAACACTGCCAAAGAAAGACAGTAAAACAACTAGTTTATCACAGATGGAAATTAAAATCTAGTAATTAAATTTCAAACATTTCAACTATACAAGACGATACTACATAAAAACAGGCTATAGATTGCCAACAACTGAAGGTAGATCACCATACTAGGGACCATGGAGACTTCCAGTACATGTGCTTCCTGTATTTAACCTTAGCTGGATTTACACCATCCCTTCAGCCTTTAGCAATTTTAGATAATCTAGCCATAAATTAAAATAACATATATGCTTCGATTAAAAATAGCAGTATGTTAAAATTAAGTTGACTGTTTTGGGACCTACGTACCGCGTCATACGACTCTTCTTAAAAATATGCAGGTAGCAAAAGTAATGTAAGTCCCCATGGTTCCTAGTATGGTGATGTACCTTCAGTTGTTGGCGATCTATAGCCCGTGTTTTATATTGTACTGTCTTCTTCAATTACACTGTTTTAGATTTACATTCTAATTTTATATTCATATCTGTGATACTCTTAGATTTTTACTGTCCATCGTCGACAGATTTTACTCTTTACAATGTTTTCATTTATATTGTATAAATTGTTTTCGTCACGATATGGCGGAGATATTGCCGCTGTGACATTAAATATTAACTCACTCACTCACTCACTTCTTAAAAAAACGATTAAATGTCCTCTACCTAGTCAAAAATGTAATGCCTCAGGGCTAAATGTGAAAGATACAGTTCCCTATTTTCACGTGTACCATCTGTTTACGTGTCTAATGCAGTGCAATATACTTTGGCATATATGTCAACGATAGGGTAGGAAACTCTCAACATTTTGTTGATTGTTTCAATTGATGGTTGACACATGGACACATGTTAATGATAATGTTGGAATCGACTTTTGGTCGAGATTGCTTAAGAATACCGAGGTGTTGTTACTTTATATATGCATTTCTACTTTATATAGGCATTTCACAGTTAAAACTCGTTTCTCAGGGATAAGCTTTCCATAACCAACATCATTAAGGAATCCTTAATAATGATATACTTTAACACAGATGTGATGTGTAAAAGAAATATTCCACAAAATGCTGGCGGAACTATTTGTTTGTCAATAACCTGTCGGCAACATACACATAAATCACACTTGAGACATGTCAATTATCTATAATCATTTTTTGCTGAATGGCGTTTACCATATCTGGCTCCTTAGGAGTACCCGGGAGAACTATGTTTTTTAATTGTGTGTGATTGGTACATGCTGTGCAAAAATGTTAAAAATGATTCTCCCTCCTGACAAGACATGTATATAAAGGGCGGGCGTTCACCTTCCACTTCAGCCCAGCCGATTCACTGCACAGAAGACCAGCAGCTTCCTCAACAACAACACAGACACCATGAAGGTTCTCGTCCTCCTCGCTCTCATGGCATTCGGTAAGCAGACATTTAGTTTGTTAACGTTATTTTGTGTACACGGCAACTATCTCGTATACTAAGTACTGTTAGTCGCACGTAAGAATGACTTCTTTGATTGGCATTCTAGAAGTGGGTCAGATGAAGGATGAGGACTATTTTTTAAGGATATACAACTTCTTAATTCTGTATAGGCGACGTTTGGACATAGATTCGAATGGCGTTGTCAAGACTGCACGTAAAAAAGTGCAAAAAGTAAACTGAGCCTGAATGGATTATTTGGAAGTGCTTTGAACTTGTCAAACACATTTAGTTTTGTTAATTTATTAACATTATATTGTGTACTCGGCAAATATTTCGTAATTTGTAAAACATATTTTTGTTGAAATTAATGTTGGTCGCACGTATGGTTCCGAAAAGTGGATTACTTGGAAATGCTTTTACCATGTCGTCAAAGGACTTCCTGTGCTCATATGCTAAGAACCGCCTCCGTGGTGTAGTGGTTAGAGCACCGCCCGGAGAGCGGAAGGTCGCAGGGTTCGATCCCCGACCGCGTCATACCAAAAGACGTTAAAATATGGTACTTGTTGGTCCCTGCCTGGCGCTCGGCATTAATGGGTACAACAAGGACTGGTCGGCTTGGAGTCAGTATAATGTGTCTGAGAGGGGTATTCATGCTTCACTGCGGCATGGTATCTCAGTGGGCTAGCACTATAAAACCAGCTTAAGTCTGGGCTAGTACAAGCAGCCGCACATACACATACACCCGCATGCACGTCGTCATATGAGCGACATATTCTCAAGCACGACGATAAACCCAATTTCACCTTACCTCACCTCACATAAGAGCTACGAATTACCCTTAGATGGTAACTGTACTGTACACATGCATTTGAAGGGCGTTGTGGTGACAGATTCCCAAATCTGTTGCAGAAGCATGTGTAGCCGTGAAATAGTCATCCTGGATCATTTAAACGCATGACAGAATAGTGCGAAACCTGTCAAAGTTCAGAAATGTATATTTGTAGTTATATTGTGGTAACTATTATGATAATGACAAAGTTCAATTACTTACTTAATTAATTAGGTAAACCTTTGTTGAGAAAACCTAACAAATTAACATATATCCCATGTTCGAGGTACAATGTAATCAATGTGCACGTTTCAAAAAAGGCTCTTTGCTGGTTCCACAGGACAATGCTACACTAAGGGAATATTTGTTTAGGGCACTCACAATAGCAAGCTCTGATTATTTCCCAGCCGCCTACCAGGTGACAGAGGCTCGTCAGAATGCCTTCTCCTGCTCCGAGGACTGCTTCAGCTACCTTGAAGGACCCTACTGCATCTCCAACGGCTCCGTCATATGTGACAACTGCGTTAGGGACAAGATGCTTTGCCAGTAAGACATTTTACTACAAAGTTCTCTGGCCTTTCGCCAAGCAGTACAACCAGACGGTCTGACACTTGAATTCTTGTTGAATCGAGATGAACTATTTATCCGTAATTGTAGGAGAAAACGAAATTCTACCATTTTATCCATCTAATTTTCTGTGGCCTTTCGCCAAGCAATAAAACTGATTTAATATAAAATATTTAACTTCACTTAACTGCTTGACTGTTTGAGAACACATGTGACAGTAGTTCAGTAACTGTAGACTTCAAAGCGTTAGCAGGAATGGGATGTCAGATGTTATGTCTTAGTTCCTGAATCGTCACGATATGGCTGATGTGACGTTAAATATTTACTCACTCACTCACTCAGTTCCTGAGAAGTGGTTACTCATCAACTATTGACAGTAGATCAAATATTAATAGGGATACAAACGTAGATGTGCAAATGAAGAATTGATGTAGCGTAAAAATGGAAGAGGTAGAACTTAATTTAGCAGTAAAAGTATGAGATTCCCTTTAAGCCTGTTCCAATATTAATCTCAGTTCTGGAACCGAACAACTGCTGATTGAGGTGGTTCAACGATCCTTTCATTACTAGGATTCGAACACAGATTTCCACACAGATTAGCGGAACTGCGACAAGATAATTATCTTACATTCCACGTAATTCAGTCAATTTGGACATTCATGTATTGCCCAATGGCTCATACATGTATGTGAAGTTACATTGAAAAGATGCACATATGTGTTGGTTTGCTTATGCTGGTCCGAATCCCTGTCAGCTTTATGCTGCTAACTCAGTGAGATATCATGTCACAGTGTGAAATCCTCTTGGATATATTATACTGATAACTTGCCTTACCCAAAGTATAAAGGAGGTTGGCAGCAAAAGCAATCTCTAAAGCCTTTTCAAATGAAACATGCACACGACCACAGAGGCTATCATGTATAGGTATAGAATGCAAAAAATTTGAGGAGACAACTACAAACACAATGGGAATCGGAGTGACTGCTAGGGTTCGAAAACATATATCGTGTTGATTATCAGACCCAGATCTGCTGTTACATTTGCAGCATCGACCCATGACAACCAGCTGAGTTTAAAAAAACGGAACTTCATTAACACTATTGACAATTATCAATATTTATAGTATTTCTGGTTTTTTTTCAGGGATCTCTCTTTGACCTCAAAAGACTGCAATAGCGCATGCGATTAGATGGCGTGACTGAAAGTGACCTGCAGACCCTGAATGAATGTAAAGGTCAAGAAAAGTTCATTCAACTGAATAAATCATGTGCATTTATCCTGTGTTCTCTTCTTAATTTCGAGACTGGAATTGTCCTTTTTCTGTTTTGCCATGTGATATTACACATACTTAGTTTTGCCAGTGCATTCAGCTCTCAGGAAAACCTGATCAGCGGGGAAAAGAACGTCTTTTTGTATTTATTTGTTAACATAAAAAACCTCTAAGAAAACATTAAACATCACAGGAAAACTATGGGAACATTGAATATATTGATATGGTGTTCATAACATAAGTTAAAAGGAGATAAGAAAGACTTACAATCACGGATTTTAAGCGGTTATGAAACAAGAAAACAAAAACATTAAAATTGTTAAAATCTTACCAGTATTAAGTAACCAAAAGGAAATTAATATGTAGGGTGGGAATTTCGTGAAGCATAGTGGAAAGGTGACGTTCGGACGATTAGCGATTCTGTCTGCTTACGTCATGCCATTAACAGATAATGCCAGATGGTGTTTCTGTGGATGTTGAATCGACGAGGAATCTGCGAGGTACCAGGATGAAGTATACCACCAGCTCTCCATCTGTCATTTTACCCGAGGCTTGGCATGTCGAACTTGTTCCAGAACGATTAGTAGGTGTGTTTGTGGCCCCTGCACTACTTAAGACTGCATTGCGTGAATGTAATACGCGTTGAAAGTACATAATACTGGCTAGTGTTCTCAAATATCTTATGCTTGGTGCAAAATTGGAACAGAAATTTCTTGGTTGCGTTTCTTCGATCATTTTAACACATTCTTTCTCTGGTTAAAATCTACCAACTCATTCACAAGATTGCCAATGCAAACATTCCATGTCACAATAACATTTGCCTCTAAACGTATTACAACATCCTTTTAAAACATCGCAGCATTACACTTTAAGTGTTATTGCATTTTACGCAACCTGCTTGTCAAGGATATCTTGAATAAATAACAGGTCCATTATCATCTTAAATCTAGTCCTTTCCATGAGTCAAAAGGATACCAGTGGTTTCAGATATAAAACCAAATTGAATAGATATTCACGTGATGGGTGAAGCCATTTATTTATAAAAAACAGTTTGTAGGTTAATACATTACTGATTTGATGAGGTTGTTGGTTAATTACGTCCCAGCATGCTGAGGGCTGGCTGTCTTGCATGGAATTTATCCATAGGTCAACGCCATTGACCGGCACACTACATCTTACTAAGTGATAACATATAGTTGATACATGTACTAGCTGTGGTAGGATTACACAATGTGGTATATTCAGCATATATTGTTTGACAACTAAATGATTCATTACTATCTAAACATATGAAGTAATTGCGCCTGCCTCTGAATATGTGAGTGTGTGTGGTTTACGCCACTTTTAGCAATATTCCAGCGATATCACGGTGGGCAACACCAGAAATGCCTCTGAATATGTACTCCAGCTGATTTTTAGGATTACGACACCTCTAATTCTTCTCCGATGTCTAAAAAGTTTCTAACAGATATTGTTTGTGGTGAAGGGAAACTCAACGAATCGCGTGTTCAGGTTCGTGCTTTTTCAGTTCCGCATCGTCCTACCCCTACGGCTTGGGTCGTTGCTCATAACATCAATCACTGACTTTGTTAGTGTGTGAGTGAGTATGGTGTTATGCCGCTTTTAGAAATATTCCAGCAATATCATTGTAGGTGACACCAGAATGGGCTTCCCACAGTGTACCCATGTCGAATCGAATCAGTATTCCGCTTGACAGGCGAACGCTTTAACCATTAGGCTACCACACCGTCCCCTAATGTGTCAGAAGAAGATTCAGTCATATACAGGCTGCTAATATATAGCTGGGATATTAGGCATTGAATTATGCTAGTAAATCGTTCCTTCCTTCCCCGGTGCTTTTATGTTAGTAAACGAACAAAAGTATACTTGACAATTCGACATACACTCCATAAACATATATGATTATTATTATTATTATGATTATTGACTAGTAAATGGTTCCTTCCTTCCGCGGTGCTTTTATGTTAGTAAATGAACAAAATTATACTTGACAATTCGACATACACTCCATAAACATATATGATTATTAGTTTATGTATGAATTGTCAAAAGGTTTAAATCTATCTTGATTGTGACAATTTTTTTATGAGATTGATTGTTGCCTCATTTGATTCCGAATGTTTTCAAATGAATTTCACATGTACAAAGTCATTTTATACGTACAAGGCAAACCATATATGCTAAATCATGTTAAGTATATACACAGATCAGTATCATCGACAAGTCATCAACAATAACATGTGTACACCTTTTATGCGCCCTCCTAAAACAAATACTCTATCATAGTTGATGTTTCAATTCAATAATTGCCTTGCCCGTGGATGTGTAAGATTTGTGTGACAGGAAGCAATCACCTTTATCTCTAACACCTGGTATCACTCTATGATAAAGATTGAACATACATGTTGCTGTGGGGGGAATGTTACAAAAGGCTTCGCTGTTTGCAGACGTTCCCTATGAATAAGAAATTCTTTTATGGCTTTTATATTGTACGTTTCTCTGACATTTAAATCTGCAACATGTTGCCATTAAGGCATTGTGAAAATCTTTTACTCCCTCTCCGTGTTTACTACGTAGTCTTATAAGTAGATATGTTTTTGTTCTACAACTAGTATTAAACCAGTTCGGATACATTGCACAAAATATTTACAGTCCTTTATCTACAATTGTTAATGTATATCAATACACTAGAACTTGTTCCAGGCGCAATAAACCTGAACTATTACAGGCCTGACTTCCAATTTACTGACCCATAGAATTGACTCTTATGCTTTCAGTCACTAATCATCGGAGGCGGAGAGGTAGCCTCGTGGTTACAACATTCACAGGTCAGGCTGAAGACCCGGGTTCGATTCCCCAGATCGGTACAATGTGTGAAGCCCACGTCTGGTGTCCCCTGCCGTGATATTGCTGGAATATTGCTTAAAGCAGCGTAAAACCAAACTCACGCACTCACTATCTAACAAGTTTCCTAAATGCATACTTTTGCTGATTGCAGATTGTAACTCTGGCATAAAGACATAAAGGGTTCAAAACATTTTTCAGTTGAATTTTATCTTATTTCAACAGCCTTATCACAACTACCAAACATATGAAATATAAAACAATGATTCTTCGAATAAACACCAAGAACAGTCACTGAAAGGATAAAGAACTTATCAGCCTGAAAATCTCTAAATAACCTGACTCTACTTCAAATTCCGTTTTAAGCATTACAGATTTTGCAAAGCAGCAAGTAGCAACAATTCGTTACAAGAGAAGGGGTAATTCACGGGGCAGAATTGTAGTGGGATGTGGGTGGTGTTTCATGAGGAGCATGCATATAACTGTTGACCATGTGCAAGGATATCAAATTATCATGTCAAGTGATCGCCAGGGAACGTGACCTCATGCTGATTTTTGACTGTATAATATTGATAATTGTGTTTTTATTAACATATTTAAGCTGTAATTTCTGATAAACTAATTAGCAGAATGTGTATAAAAGAAGCTTGAATTTTCTATTCCAGCTCATTCAACCGACTCGACTTCATACGCCAGCCAACTCCGTCATCAGCAGCTACTCTGAACATCATCATTATGAAGGTCCTCGTCCTCCTCGTTCTTGTTGGATTCGGTGAGTGCAAACGTTTTTCAAGAAAGAAAATATAACAGGTCTTCCTTCAATCACGTATGTGTATTATTGCACAGCCTTTTCATTGTTATTATAGGTCAGGGTTACAGCATTCAATTCCTTCGAAATGCTTCATGGTAGACCTTGTGATCATATCCAAATTTGCCCGGTGCTATTCCCTTGTAGTATGTTTATTCCCATGTTTGTTCAATGAACACTTGACGTGCCTTTGCAAAAATGTTTGACCAGGTTCATTTGTGGGGCAGGATTTTTTCAACTTTTGGCAAAATCCTGGTATCACCACTATTGGCATTAACAGATGATCATGGTATATTGAGCATAGAACAATGGACCTTGCCTTACCGGGTGTTTCTAATTGCTATAGACAGCTGCAGGGTGTTGTGAAATTAAACAAGAAACCCTGAGACCAAAATGAAAGTTTTCTTACCCACGTGCTTCCTGTACTCATATGACAAATGTAATGTCTCGTTACTTCGATTATGTTCTCGTTGCTTCCAGTATATTCTCGTTACTTCAAGTTTTTTTCAAACACTTCAAATTGTAAATCTTTGAAAGAAATTTGAATTTTCGTGATTTTGAAAGGAACTTGAACTAGCAAGAAAATACTCGAGACATCGAGAAAGTAATCCAAATAACGAGTACATAATCACAAGAACCTACAAAATAATCGATGAAATAAGTAATTTCGCTGAAAATATATTTTATGCTTTAAAAGTGTTAGCATTAGGCTTTCTGAAAGGCTATCTGAAAATACCCACGTTAAAAATACAATAAGAGTGTGAGATTGTTGTTTGGGAACACTCAATAGCAAGCTCTGTTTCTATCACCAGCCGCCTACCAGGTGACAGAGGCTCGTATGAACGCCTTCTCCTGCTCCGATGACTGCTTCAGCTACCTTGAAGGACCATACTGCATCTCCAACGGCTCCGTCGTGTGTGACAACTGCGTCAGGGACAAGATGCTCTGCCAGTAAGATATTTAGCTTCACATTTCTGCTTGACTTCGTGAATGGGCTGTCTGAGAACCAATGTGACAGTAGTTCAGTAACTGTTGACTTCAATGCGTTAGCAGCAATGGTATGTCAAATTTTATGTCTCAGTTCATGAGAAGTGGCTACTACAAGTGATACAAAAGTAGATCTGGAGAACTGATGTTGCATAATTCGATCTGCTATGAAACTGAAAAAGTGAAGAGGTAGAAATAATTTTATCAGTAAAAGTATGAGATTCCATTTAGGCCTGTTTCATTATTAATCTCAGTTCTGGAATTGAGCAACTGCAGATTGACGTGTGGCAACTATCCTTTCATTAGTAGCCAGGATTCGAACAAATATTTCCAACCGAATAAAGTGGGCACGGAACTACTGCAAGATAAATTTCTTACATTCCACGAAATTCAGCCAATTTGTAAATACATGTATTGTCCAATGGCGCATACATGTATGTGAAGTTAAATTGAAAAGATTAATGGACATATGTGTTGGTTTGCTTATGCTGGTCCGAATCTCTGTCAGCTTTATGCTGCTAACTCTATGTCACATTGTGGATCTACCTTGGATATATTATACTGATAACTTGCCACACCCAAAGTATAAAGGAGGTTGGCAGCAAAAGCAATCTCTAAAGCCTTTTCAAATGAGGCTATCATGTATAGATATACAATGCAAAACGTTTGAGGAGACAACTACAACAATGGGAGTCAAAGTGACAGCTAGGGTTCGAAAACATATATCGTGTTGATTATCAGACCCAGATCTGCTGTGCAGATGCATTCCACCAAATCCTTTTACATTGGCAGCATCGACCCATGACAACCAGCTGACTTCAATAACTTCAATAACACTATTGACAATTATCAATATTTATAGTATTTCTGGTTTTTTTCAGGGATCTCTCTTTGACCTCAAAAGATTGCAATAGCGCATGCGATTAGATGGCGTGACTGAAAGTGACCTGCAGACCCTGAATGAATGTAAAGGTCAAGAAAAGTTCATTCAACTGAATAAATCATGTGCATTTATCCTGTGTTCTCTTCTTAATTTCGAGACTGGAATTGTCCTTTTTCTGTTTTGCCGTGTGATATTACACATACTTAGTTTTGCCAGTGCATCCATTTTTTCAGGAAGGGCGGTGGGGTTGGCTCGTCACGCCGAAGACCCGGGTTCGATTCCCTACATGGGCACAATGTGTGAAGCCCATTTCTGGTGTTCCGCGCCGTGATATTGCTGGAATATTGCTAAAAGCGGCGTAAAACTAAACTCAGTCAGTCAGTTTCTCAGGAAAACCTGATCAGCGGGGAAATGGACGCTCTTTTACTTATCTGTTAACATGGAATCGTTTAAGAAAACAATAGACATCATAGGAAAACAATGGGAACATTGAATATTTGATATGATATTCATAAAATAAGTTAAAAAGGAGATAAGAGAGACTTAGAATCACGGAATATATTCAGTTATGAAACAAGAAAAATAAGAACTTTGACCTAGCAGTATATTCGAGTGAGTGAGTGAGTGAGTTAAGAGTTTAAGTCACATCGGCAATATTTCAGCCATATCATGACTAAATCAAGTTATAAATAACAAATAAAGGTAAATTACAAAATTCTGTCAACGAGGAGTAAAACAACTAGATTATCCCAGATATAAATATAAAACTAGTAACTAATCTATAATATTTTAACTATGCATGACAATACAATGTAAAAACAGGTTATAGATTGCCAACAACTGAAGGTAGATCACCATACTAGGGACCATGGGGACTTACAGTACATTTGCTTCCTGCATTGGCCCTAGCTGGATTTACACCATCCCTTCAGCCGTTAGCACTTTAGCAAATCTAGCCATACATTAAAAAGACATGTACTTTGAATGTTTTGGGACTTACATGTCTTCTCAGGAGGACAATAATGGTACAATACTTTAACCCCCTTTGAGGATACAGCCACCAACAAACTGAGTTACTAATTTAAAATTCCAAACATAAAATATTTATCTATGATGAGGTAACAATAGTGGCATATAACAGGGTGGTAAGAACACAAATGGAAGCCAGGCCTAATAGTAATAGTAATTGTGTTCTTACCACCCTGTTATATGTCACTATTGTTACCTCATCAACTTTGCCTGGATTAACAATCCATGGCTTCCTTTTTGTCCATCCACCCAGTTAGTGCTAATTATATCCCCCTGGCTTCTATTTGTTTTTCTTATCTATCATGCCTGGAATAACAATCCCTGGCTTCCACTTGTCCATCCACCAATTAACTACTGGTTTCCTTTGTTATACTGTTGTTGTTTCAACATGTACATACATATATAGCTGTTTGTTCCTAATTGTTTCATTCACCTGATCAAGGAGTAAGAACATACTTCGAAACGTCGTGACCCTTTACAATAAAGAAGTTGTCATCCATAAACAAACTCTTGTCTTTGTGTGTATCACCTCTATATGTCCTTCAAAGACTCTATTAAGTAACCTACCGAAAATTAATAAGCAGGGTGGGAATTTCATGACTTGAAGTCACAGTGGAAAGTTGACGTTCAGACGATTAGCGTTTCTGACTGTTTCCGGCTTGGCATCACAAAACAATGCCAGATGATTTGTCTATGGACGTTGAATCGACGAGGAATCTGCGAGGTTGCATACTGAAGCATATCAACAGCTCTCTTTTTGTCATTTGATCCGACGTTTGGCATGTTGAACTTGTTCCAGAACGATTAATGGGTGTGTTTATGGCCTCTGCATTTCTTAAGACTGCATTGAGTGAAAATAATAAGCGTATTAAAGTGCATAACACTGGCTAGTATGTTATGCTTGGTGGAAAATTCGAACGGAAACTTCTTGGTTGCTTGTCTTGACAATACAATGTAAAACAGGTTATAGATTGCCAACAACTGAAGGTAGATCACCATACTAGGGACCATGGGGACTTACAGTACATTTGCTTCCTGCATTGGCCCCTAGCTGGATTTACACCATCCCTTCAGCCGTTAGCACTTTAGCAAATCTAGCCATACATTAAAAGACATGTACTTTGAATGTTTTGGGACTTACATGTCTTCTCAGGAGGACAATAATGGTACAATACTTTAACCCCTTTGAGGATACAGCCACCAACAATCTGAGTTACTAATTTAAAATTCCAAACATAAAATATTTATCTATGATGAGGTAACAATAGTGGCATATAACAGGGTGGTAAGAACACAAATGGAAGCCAGGCCTAATAGTAATAGTAATTGTGTTCTTACCACCCTGTTATATGCCACTATTGTTACCTCATCAACTGCCTGGATTAACAATCCATGGCTTCCTTTTGTCCATCCACCCAGTTAGTGCTAATTATATCCCCCTGGCTTCTATTTGTTTTTCTTATCTATCATGCCTGGAATAACAATCCCTGGCTTCCACTTGTCCATCCACCAATTAACTACTGGTTTACTTTGTTATACTGTTGTTGTTTCAACATGTACATACATATATAGCTGTTTGTTCCTAATTGTTTCATTCACCTGATCAAGGAGTAAGAACATACTTCGAAACGTCGTGACCCTTTACAATAAAGAAGTTGTCATCCATAAACAAACTCTTGTCTTTGTGTGTATCACCTCTATATGCCCTTCAAAGACTCTATTAAGTAACCTACCGAAAATTAATAAGCAGGGTGGGAATTTCATGACTTGAAGTCACAGTGGAAAGTTGACGTTCAGACGATTAGCGTTTCTGACTGTTTCCGGCTTGGCATCACAAAACAATGCCAGATGATTTGTCTATGGACGTTGAATCGACGAGGAATCTGCGAGGTTGCATACTGAAGCATATCAACAGCTCTCTTTTTGTCATTTGATCCGAGGTTTGGCATGTTGAACTTGTTCCAGAACGATTAATGGGTGTGTTTATGGCCTCTGCATTTCTTAAGACTGCATTGAGTGAAAATAATAAGCGTATTAAAGTGCATAACACTGGCTAGTATGTTATGCTTGGAGGAAAATTCGAACGGAAACTTCTTGGTTGCTTGTCTTCGATCATTTTAACACATTCATTCCATGGTTTAAATCTACCAACTCATTCACAATATTGTAAATGCAAACATTCCATGTGACAATAACTTTTGCCTCTAAACATGTTAAAACATTCTTTTTAAAACATCTCAGCATTACGCTTTACCACAGTATTATTACGTTTTACCGCAACCAGATTGTCAAGGATATTTTGATTAAATAACAGGTCCATTATCATCTTAAATCCACTTATTTCCGTGAATCATAAGCATAGATAGACTTTCACTTGATGGGTGAAGCCATTTATTGCCAAATAACAGTTTGTAGGTTAATACATTAAGGATTTGATGAGGTTGGTGGTTAATTACGCCCCAGCATGCTGAGGGCTGGCTGCTTTGCATGAAATTTGTCCATAGGTCAACGACATTGGCCAGCACACAGCATCTGACTAAATGATAACATATTGTTTATACATACATATACTAGCTGCAGTATATTCAGCATATGTTGCTTGACAACTAAATTTAAACTTTTAAGGTAATGGCGCTTGCCTCTGAATATGTGAGTGAGTGAGTATGGTTTTACGCTGCTTTTAGCAACATCCTAGCAAGATCACTGCCCTGGACACCAGAAATACCTCTAAAAATGTACTCCAGGTGCTATTTTAGATTTAAGACATCTCTAATTCTGCTCCGAGTTTTAATGGGTTTCATCAAGCCTTTTTGTGTGGTGAAGGGAAACTCAACAAATCGAGTTTTCAGGTTCGATGCTTTTTGCGTTTCGCATCGTCCTACCCCTTCTGCTTCCTTGCTCATAATATGAATCCCTAATGAGTGAGTGAGTATGGTTTTACGCCGCTTTTAGCAATATCACGGCAGAGGACACCAGAATGGGCTTCACACATTGTACCCATGTGGGGAACCGACCCCGTGTCTTCAGCTTGATCGACAAACGCTTTAACCGTTAGGCTACCCAACTGTCCCCTAATGCGTCAAAAGAAGATTCAGTTATTTGCAGACCGCTAACATGAACCTGGGATATCATTCGTGTGGTTTGCAACCAAACAAAGTGAGGGATTGAAATATGTTCCTAAAAACAGACTAAAACAACAGAGTAAGATTTATGCTTCTATAGTAAACAGTTCCTTCCTTCCACAATGGTTTTAAGTGAGTAAATGAACAAAATTATACTTGATGATACGACATGCACTGCATAAACATAGATCGTTAATAGTTTTATGTGTGAATTGTCAAAAGGTTTAAATCTATCTTGATTGTTATCGTTTTTTTCTGAGATTGATTGCTGTCTCATTTGATTCCGAATGTTTTCAAAGGAATGCCACATGTACAAAGTCATAGTATACGTACAAGGCAAACCATATATGTTAAGTCATGTTACGTTTATATATACACATAAGTACCTTAACCAAGTTATCCACAGTAACATATGCACGCCTTTCACGCTGCCTTTAAACAAACACCCTATCGTGGTTCACGTTTCAATTCAAACAATTGACTTGCCTGTGCGTGTGTCTCATCGGTGTGACAGGAAGCAATAACCTTTATCTCTAACACCTGGTATCACTCTTTGGTAAAGATTAAACACACATGTTGCTGTGGGGGGAATGTTACAAAAGGCTTCGCTGTTTGCAGACGTTCCCTATGAATAAGAAATTCTTTTATGGCTTTTATATTGTACGTTTCTCTGACATTTAAATCTTTAACATGTTGCAATTGAGGCAGTGTGAAAATATTTTACTCCATCAGCATGTTTGCTAAGTAGCCTTATAGGTAGATATGTTTTTGTTCTACAACTAGTTTATAAACAATTGGGATACATTGCCAATTATATCACAGTCATTCGGTGACAATTGTTAATGTATATCAATACACTAGAACTTGTTCCAGCCACAATAAACCTGAAATATTACAGGCTTAACTTTTCATTTACTGACGATTCGCATTGCAATTGACTCTTATCCCTTCCGTCACCCGGGTTCGATTCCCCACATGGGTGCAATGTATGAAGCCCATTTCTGGTGTCCCCCTCCGTGCTGATCCTGGAATATTGCTGAAAGCAGCGTCAAACTAAACTTACTTTTGAACAAGTTTCATAAATGTCGACTTTCCACTTCAAAACGCTCCTTAATCTAATAATGTCAACACTTTGTTAAAACAGACATTTCTTACATACTACAATGCTGATTGCAGATTGTAACTCTGGCATAAAGATATAAAGGGTTCACATTTGATTAATAATGATTAATAATGTTTAATACGCAGGTTGCTTGCTTTCCTATCGTGCTGCATATTATTTAATATTTGTTTTATTCATGTATCAATGAAATGGAGAGGTATTCAAATAAGCCATTACGGCTTGTTTACCAATCCTAGTTCAATTTATTTTGAATAAAATATGTTTACACTATAAAGGGTTCAAAACATTTCTCAGTGAATCTTATCACAACAACCCATTTTTCAAAACTTAGACTCGCATTTTTCAATGTGTCTATAATTTTATACGACCTAACGGATAACCAAAGTATCACACATACTTATACTTACATAACTTATTAGCTTGCAATTAAACATATCAAATATAAAACACTTATTCCTCGAAGTAACAGCAACAACAACACTGAAAGGATGAAGACCTTACCGTCTTGAAGACCTCCAAATAACCTGTGTCTACTGCAAATTTCGTTTTAAGCATTACAGATTTTGCAAACAGCCTACAAGAGAGGGGGTAGTTCACTGGGCAGAATTGTAGGGGGTTACGTGGGTGGTGTTAAATAATTCATGAGGAGCATGCATATAAATTAGCAATTAGCACAATTCGTTACAAGAGAAGGGGTAATTCACGGGGCAGAATTGTAGCGGGGTTAAGTGGGAGGTGTTTAAGGAGGTGCATGCAAATAAATGTTGACCATGTGCGAGGATATCAAATTATCATGTCAAGTGATCGCCAGGGAGCGTGCCTCATGCTGATTTTTTTACTGTATAATATTGATAATTGTGTTTTTATTAGCATATTTAAGCTGTAATTTCTGACAACCTAATTAGCAGAATGTGTATAAAAGAAGCTTGAATTTTTTATTCCAACACTTTCAACCGACTCGACTTCATACGCCAGCCAACTCCGTCAGCAGCAGATACTCTGAACATCATCATTATGAAGGTCCTCGTCCTCCTCGTTCTTGTTGGATTCGGTGAGTGCAATGTTTGTCACTTTGTCGGAACGTTTTTCAAGAATGTAACATATATTAACAGGTCTACCTTCAAACAAATATCTGTATTATTGCAAAGCCTTTTCATTGTCAAAGCTGAGTTCAGGACAGGGTTACAGCATGCAATTTCTTGCTTTAACTTTCAAAATGCTACATGGTAGACCTTGCGATGTCATTCCCAAATTTGCCCCGTGCTATTTCCGTGTTGTATATTAACTAGTATCCCCATGTTTGTTCAATGAACACTTGACGTGTCTTTGCAAGATGTTTATGACCAGGCTCATTGGTGGGGCAGGATATTTTCAACTTTTGTCAAAATCCTGGTATAACCACTATTGGCATGAACAGATGAGCATGCCTTAACGGATGTTTCTAATTGTTATAGCCACCAAAATGAGAGTGTTCTTACCCACGCACTTCCTGTATTTCCTGTACTCATATGACGAGTAATTCCGCTGAAAATATATTTTGTGCACCAATAGTGTTAGCATAAGGCTTTCTGAATGGCAATCTGAAAATATCCACTTTAAAAATACAATAAGAGTGTGAAATTGTTGTTTGGGAACACTCAATAGCAAGCTCTGTTTCTATCAACTAGCCGCCTACCAGGTGACAGAGGCTCGTATGAACGCCTTCTCCTGCTCCGATGACTGCTTCAGCTACCTTGAAGGACCCTACTGCATCTCCAACGGCTCCGTCGTGTGTGACAACTGCGTCAGGGACAAGATGCTTTGCCAGTAAGATATTTAGCTTCACATTGCTGCTTGACTTCGTGAATGGGCTGTCTGAGAACCAATGTGACAGTAGTTCAGTAACTGTTGACTTCAATGCGTTAGCAGCAATGGGATGTCAAATATTATGTCTCAGTTCATGAGAAGTGGCTACTCATTAACTACAAGTGATACAAAAGTAGATCTGGAGAACTGATGTTGCGTAATTCGATCTGCTATGAAACTGAAGATGAAGTGACTGAAGTTCGAAAACATATATCGTGTCGATTATCAGACCCAGACCTGCTATGCAGATGCATCTCAGCAACTTAATAATATTTGCAAGACCGACCCATGACAACCACCAGGCTTTGAAAAACTCAGGACAGGGTTACAGCATGCAATTTCTTGCTTTAACTTTCAAAATGCTACATGGTAGACCTTGTGATGTCATTCCCAAATTTGCCCGGTGCTATGTCCGTGTTGTATATTAACTAGTATCCCCATGTTTGTTCAATGAACACTTGACGTGTCTTTGCAAGACGTTTATGACCAGGCTCATTGGTGGGGCAGGATATTTTCAACTTTTGTCAAAATCCTGGTATAACCACTATTGGCATGAACAGAGGAGCATGCCTTAACGGATGTTTCTAATTGTTATAGCCACCAAAATGAGAGTGTTCTTACCCACGTACTTCCTGTATTTCCTGTACTCATATGACGAGTAATTCCGCTGAAAATATATTTTGTGCACCAATAGTGTTAGCATAAGGCTTTCTGAATGGCAATCTGAAAATATCCACTTTAAAAATACAATAAGAGTGTGAAATTGTTGTTTGGGAACACTCAATAGCAAGCTCTGTTTCTATCAACTAGCCGCCTACCAGGTGACAGAGGCTCGTATGAACGCCTTCTCCTGCTCCGATGACTGCTTCAGCTACCTTGAAGGACCCTACTGCATCTCCAACGGCTCCGTCGTGTGTGACAACTGCGTCAGGGACAAGATGCTTTGCCAGTAAGATATTTAGCTTCACATTGCTGCTTGACTTCGTGAATGGGCTGTCTGAGAACCAATGTGACAGTAGTTCAGTAACTGTTGACTTCAATGCGTTAGCAGCAATGGGATGTCAAATATTATGTCTCAGTTCATGAGAAGTGGCTACTCATTAACTACAAGTGATACAAAAGTAGATCTGGAGAACTGATGTTGCGTAACTCCATCTGCTATGAAACTGAAGATGAAGTGACTGAAGTTCGAAAACATATATCGTGTCGATTATCCGACCCAGACCTGCTATGCAGATGGATCTCAGCAACTTAATAATATTTGCAAGACCGACCCATGACAACCACCAGACTTTGAAAAACCGGAACTTGATTAACATCATTGACAATTATCAACATCTATGTTTTCTGTTTCTTTTCAGGGATCTCTCTTTAGCTTCAAAAGATTGCAATAGCGCATGCGATTAGATGGAATGACTGAAGGTGACTTGCAGAGCCCTGAAGGAAAAGTAAAGAATCATTCTTTCACCTGAATAAATAATATGCATTTATCCTGTGTTCTCTTCTGCCTTCTCGGGTGTGGAATTGCCCTTATTCTATTTTGTCATGTGCTATTACACATAGTTAGTATTGGTTGTGCATTCAGCTCTCAGAAAGACCTGATTAGCAGGGGAAGGCTTGTGTTTTGTATTTATCTGCTAACATGGACACGTTTTGGAAATTAGACATCACAGGAAAACAATGGGAACATTGAATATTTGATATGGCATTCAAGGAATAAGATACAGGAGATACAGAGAAACTTACAGTCACGGAATTTAATCAGTTTTCGGAAACTAGAAAAATAAGAGTGGGTAAGGGAGATAAAACGTAACGTCACCTCGGCAACATTTCAGCCATATTGTGACGAGAAATGTTTGCATACACAATAAAATGTAATTGTTATATAATCAGTCAGCGAAGCACTGTAAAATAACTACTACAGGTGGTGTAAAAAACTAGCATGTAAATCTAAAACTATTTTATTTACGAAGACAATACAATATAAAACAGGCTATATAGGTGGCCAACAAATGAAGGTAGATCACCATACTAGGGTCCATGGGGACTTACAGTGCTTTTGCTACCTGCATGGACCCTAGCTGGATTTACACCATCCCTTCAGCCGCTGGTGACTGTAGGAAAATTAGCCGAAATTTAAACTACACTTACTACGTTTTAAAAATAGGTAAGTTTAAATTTACTTTGAAAGTTTTGGGACTTACGTAGGAAGACAATACTCTTACAATACTTTAACCCCCTTTGAGGATACAGCCACTAACAATCGCAGTTGCTAATTTATATTATCATGTTTAAAATGTCATTTATCTATTAGAAACATAAGAACTTTGAACAAAAACGCTAAAATCTTACCAGTATATTACGGAAAAGTAATCAGTGTTTGTGTCTGGTTTCGCTATGGCATCACCAGACAATGTCAGACCGTGTTTCTATGGACGTTGAATTGACGAAGAAACTGCGAGGTAACAGAATGAAGCATACCAACAGCTCTCCCTCTGTCATTTGACCCGAGGTTTGGCATGTCGAACTTATTCCAGAATGTTTAATTGGTGTGTTTGTGGCCCCTGCACTTCTTACTGACTGACTGAGTTTAGTTTTACGCCGCTTTTAACAATATTCCAGCAATATCACGGCGGGGGACACCAGAAATGGGCTTAACACATTGTGCCCATGTGGGGAATCGAACCCGGGTATTCGGCGTGACGAGCGAACGCTTTAACCACTAGGCTACCCCACCGCCCCTGCACTTCTTAAAGGGGCACTGATCCAGATCAATTTCCGTGGAGTGGTTGTTGCTTTTGTTATTGTTTTTCTCCCGTGAGTACCCGGATGGTATCCCAGAATTCTTGACTGGTTCGTGACCCCTGCGCTGTTGCGCCACCCAAATGCGCCATTGATAGTATAAGTATAGACTGTTCAACAAAGATGAAATCTTTTTTACACGTTAATATGTCCGTCTGCATTATTATGATAACAAATGAAAGCATATTTAAGTTTTGAGGATATGAACGGAAGGAACGTCTTTGCTGCATAAGAAATACATATAAGCATTTGCTGTGTACTAAAGTTAAAAAATGTATATACCTATTTACCTAAGTAAATTTTCAGATTTTTCAAGCAATGGCAAAGTGGAATTGTTTAGTTCCAATAAATCGACAGTGTGTTTTTAATATCATAGGAAATAGACATCAAATTTTTACATTACATGATTAAAGTGTCGAGGTAAAAAAGACAGAAATAGGATCAAATTAGATCAGTCACTATAAATACCACCCAGGCATTTTAAAATCAGAAAAGCCTACATTGCTGGGATACTTTATTACAATCCGACAAGAACTATCGGGGATATTTGTCCCCCGCCGCAACGCGGAACGGGGGACTATGTATTCAGCGGCGTCCGTCCGTCCGTACGTACGTACGTAGGTACGTCCCGATTTCTGTTAACGCGATATCTCATGAACTGTTGTACCAAATGTCTTCCAATTTAGTGACAGCCTACATTAGGGGATTACGCAGACACCAGTCGATTTGGGTGACCTTTACCTTATTTTCAAGGTCACCACGACACTTTGACCACTTTTCAAACTCTTGTTAGCGCGACATCTCATGCACTGTAGTATCCAATATCTTCAAATGGTGACAGCCTACATTAGGGGATTATGCAGACATCAGTCTATTTTGGTGACCTCGACATTATCTTATCAATTTGCACGCATTTAACACTTGTTAACGCATTATCTCATGAACTGTTGTATCCAATGTCTTCAAATTTGGGGGATTACGCAGACACCAGTTTATTTGGGTGACCTTGACCTTATCCTCAAGATCACCACGACTCTTTTTAAACGCGATATCTCATAAAACATTGCACCCAATGATTTCACATTGGGTGACTTACTCAGCTTCATGTGGATGTACTGATCTTAACTTACGTTGGTAGTAGAAATGCAACGTTCAATATATTGCCCCATATGGTTTTCGTTAATCACAGATGTAATTAAAATAATTTAGGGACGATATTTAATCCGAACGTAAACCGTCATCAAACTGTTTATCATTTGGTTTTTTTCTGGTAGGGGGGTGCAGAAACATCAATAGACCAGCGCGCCAGATCACCGATACCGTCGTTTGTTTTCGGCTTTAGATTAATCGTAATTATCCTTAGAAAGTATTATATTTAAATTTGGCATCTTAGAAAAGAAATACAGTTCGTTCTACCACCATGTATAATGTAATAAAGCACACTTTCGCCCTGCTTTATAGTTAAAGCAAGCGTCCTCGTGCTTTAACTATAATAGTTCAGGGCGTAAGTGTGCTTTATTACACTATACATGGTGGTAGAGCGAACTGTATTTCTTAAAAAACGGTATCTGATTGGCATCCACTCTTCCTAATGTCCCACTGTTTAGGTTGAAGAATTTCTGCCCAGGTGGACAGTAGCAAAGTCCCCGTGTCACGGTCGAGGGAGCAGTTATGACCAGCTTTCAGCTTGGTTTCGTAATTAGACTGTTGGCGAGAAACATTTATCGCTCGGGATCAGTGCCCCTTTAAGACTGCATTGCGTGAAAGTAAAAAGCGTTGTAAAGTGTATTGTTCTCAAATACGTAATGCTTGATGCAAATTCGAACAAAAACTTCATGGTTGCGTTTCTTTGACCATTTTGACGCATTCTTTGTCTCAGACTTTTAAAAATGTACTCGTTTGCCTCTAAACATATTAAAACATTCTTTCAAAACATCTCAGTATTATGCTTTAAAACAGTGTTATCACATTTTACCGCAACCAGATTGTCAAGTATATTTTGAATAAATAACAGGTCCATTATCATCTTAAATCCAGTCCTTTCCATGAGTCAAAAGGATACCGGCGCTTTTAGATATAGAACCAAATTGAATAGATATTCACTTGATGGGGTGAAACCATTTATTAAAAAACAGTTTGTAGGTTAATACATTAATGATTTGATGAGGTTGGTGGTTAATTACGTCCCAGCATGCTGAGGGCTGGCTCTCTTGCATGGAATTTATCCATAGGTCAACGCCATTGACCGGCACACTACATCTGACTAAGTGATAACATATAGTTGATACATGTACTAGCTGTGGTAGGATTACACAATGTGGTATATTCAGCACTATTGTTTGGCAACTAATTTTTTCATTACTATCTAAACATATGAAATAATTGTGCATGCCGCTAAATATGTGAGTGAGTGAGTGTAGTTTTACGCCGATTTTAGCAATATTCCAGCGATATCACGGTGGGCAACACCAGAAATGTCTCTGAATATTTATTCCAGCTGAATTTTAGGATTACCACCCCATGTTTAAAAGGTTTCTACCAGACATTCCAGGCTAACAAAGAAACGTTTTGAAAACGTTAAGAAAACGTTTCCGTATGGTTTTAAAAACGTTCAAAAAAACGTTTTTAAAACCTTATTTTGTTGTGTATTTTGTACGTTTTAAAACAGTTTTGACGAAACGTTGGCGAGAAACATTAGAAACCTTCTAAAAACGTTTTGAAAACGTTTTTCCATGGGGTTGCCAAAACGTTTGGGTTGAACCTTATTGCGATTGTAGAGATATCAGTGAAGATATCATGTTCTGATATCGTTGCAAGGCTAGTTTACCAACACTATGTGTTTTGAAGTAAATTTGTTAATCATGTCATCCGTTATTATTAGTGAAAATGAAAACAAAACAATGATATGTTTAAAAGAATACTTCATTTCATCAATACATATGGAAAATAATCAGTCATCTTTGTCATCGGGCTTTTCTTGCGTCTGTGTTTGCTTCTGAAATAAACACAAAGAAATTCTATGACTATTTACTGTCACTTCACTCTTGATGATGCTAAATTACTGCTACATGTTTCTGTGTCGTGAAGCTATGTTGAAGAGTACACATTCCCACCTGTGTTTATCGCAAACTTACAAAATGAATACAGATCAATCAACCTCAGTAGACCATTAATCATATGCAATGGGAATTTATTACCAACCAAATAAAAACAATTTGTCAAACTGTGCAAGTGATTTCATCTGATTATATTGTATGATACTTTCCCAAAATACGGGGATCATTTACATAAGGAAGTTGTTACTCACAATAGTTGTACGGAACTGAATATTGTGTATTTCTTACATTTGGCCCAAGTTATACATGATAACTTGCCTTTTAACGGCAGGATGAACTTTTATTTAAAAGTATTTCTTCATGACTCATCTTCATCTCTTGTTTAAAAGTCGCATACTACATTTACTTATGAGGGGGCTGACATTTGTTGTGAGGAATCATGGTCTGGTTGTTAGGGAAGTGACGTATTGTTTGCTATAAAATAACGAGCTGGAGTCACCGACTCGAATGCAATATTATCCCCCGAGTTCCTGTACATCGCTGATAAGCAAGAGTGTCTACGTGACCAAATCCGTGTCGGCAGATTGGATACGGGGCAGAAGAGACAGGGAAAATTCCTATATTTGAACACATGTCAACACTTTGGTCATTTAATAAATGGTAATATTATAGCTAAGTTAAAAGTCGACGTTTCTTTGTAATTTAATTGATATCACAAACACAGATACACTGTGACATAGTTTGGATATGAATGTGCATTTATTAATTTACCACTCTGCAAACATATATAAACAGGCTATCTCATTTTGCTTGTACTATTGATTTTGATCTTGTGAACATTGATGCTCATGTAGTAAACACTCATTCTAACACTACGTCACAAAGATTTTATGCCACAAGTAATACCTATCACACATATGTTGAGAAAATATCATAGGAATACGTACAGTTACAAACAAAGGATGAATGTTCACAAGGCAATAAATAGAATTTGAACTGAAGAACAATAATGTGAATATACATACCTCCTTTTAGAAATCTGTCGTCTTGTCACTAAAGTAAAATGTACCGTCTTCTACATCCAGCAATGTGATGGAACTTCCCGCCTGCTATGTACAGAGTCCGATTTTGAATGCATGGTTTCCTGCTCTGACCTGACAAAGTATCTGGAAACATTCCTGTAAGCTGAAACCATACAATAGATAGCCAGTTGTCCACGCAGAAAAGGCTGAACTTAATACAGTACAATGTTGGATCTGTAGTAAATAGTACAGTACAGAAATAAATGATAGTAATGAAACACATGACATACTATTCCACTTGACAAAATGTTCAAAACACTTTTCAAGTTTTCTCACAAATATTTTTGTACAGGTGTATTTTCATGACTATTATTTTCAAGTTAATGTACATTCCTGTAGTGGACGGATACATACTTATGAGGAAAATTTAACCTCAAAATGTTCCACTAACGATCTTGTAACGTTGTGATTTGGTTTCAATCAAACTTTTGGGAAACCTTCGCCAACGTTTCCATAACGTTTCTAAAACGTTGGTGTGTAGACGTTTGGATTTTGTTTCTTGATAGCATTTTAACAACGTTACTCTAAACGTTTTCATAACGTTTCAAAATAATGTTTAAAAAAACGTTTTAAAAACATTATCAAAACGTTTTCATGAAACATTTCCATAAGAAACCACTAAAACCGTTTTAGAAACGTTTTGTGTTAGCTGGGTTGTTTGTGGTGAAGGGAAACTCAACGAATCACGTTTTCAGGTTCGGTGCTTTTTCAGTTCCGCATCGTCCTACCCCTACGGCATGGATCGTTGCTCAGAACATCAATCACTGATTTTGTTAGTGTATGAGTGAGTATGGTTTTACGCCGCTTTTAGCAATATTCCAGAAATATCATGGTAGGGGACACCAGAGTGGGCTTCACAAATTGTACTCATGTAGGGAATCCAATCGGTATTATGATCGAGGGAAAAAATACCAGCGCCTTAAGCATGCACTGGTGCGTGGATATGTGCGCTATATAAATATCCAATAATAATAATAATAACAGTAAATAAATACTTTACTGACAATTCACAATGAAATTGACTCTTATGCTTTCAGTCTCTATTAATCGGGGGCGGTTGGGTAGTCTAGTGGTTACAGCATCCACTGGTCTCGCCAAAGACCCGGGTTCGATTCCCCACATTGGTACAATGTGTGAATCCTATTTCTGGTGTCCCCCGCCGTGATATTGCTGGAATATTGCTTAAAGCAGCGTAAAACTAGACTCACGCACTCACTATCTAACAGCAAATGGTCCCATGGTCCCTAGTATGGTGAACTACCTTCAGTGGTTGGCAATCAATAGCCTGTATCTATACTGTATTGTCATGTATAGTTAAAATATTTTAGATTTAATTACCAGTTTTAAATTTATATTTGTGATAATGTAGTTGTTTTACTGTCCGTTGACAGAATTTTATAATTTACTTTAAATTGTTAATATATTTATAACTTGATCTAGTCACGATATGGCTGAAATACTGCCGATGTGACTACAAATCTTAACTCACTAACTCACTCACCAACTGTCTAACAAGTTTCCTAAATGACAATTTATGCTGATTGCAGATTGTATTTCCGGCATAAAGATATAAAGGGATGAAAACATTTCTCAGGTAATCTATCACAACAACCTTATTACAACAACCAAACATATGAAATATAAAATAGTGATTCTTCGACTAAACACCAGCAAATATCACAGAAAGGATAAAGAACTTACCAGCCTGAAAACATCTAAATAACCTGACTCTACTTTAAATGTCGTTTTAAGCATGACTTATTTTGCAAAGCAGCAATTAGCAACAATTCGTTATAAGAGACGGGGTAATTCACGGGGTAGAATTGTAGGGGGTTACGTGGGTGGTGTTTCATGAGGAGCATGCATATAAATGTTGACCATGTGCGAAGATATCAAATTATCATGTCAGGTGATCGCCAGGGAGCGTGACCTCATGCTGATTTTGACTGTATAATATTGATAATTGTGTTTGTATTAGCATATTTAAGCTGTAATTTCTGATAAACTAATTAGCAGAATGTATATAAAAGAAGCTTGAATTTTCTATTCCAGCACATTCAACCGACTCGACTTCATACGCCAGCCAACTCCGTCAGCAGCAGCTACTTTGAACATCATCATTATGAAGGTCCTCGTCCTCCTCGTTCTTGTTGGATTCGGTGAGTGCAATGCTTTATACTTTGTTAAAATGTTTTTCAAGAGTGAAAAATGTAACAGGTCTCCCTTCAATCAAATATGGGGATTATTGCAAAACGTTTTCATTATCAAAACTGAGTTTAGGTCAGGGTTACAGAATATAATTCATTTCCTTACTTCACCTTTCAAAATGCTAAATGGTAGACCTCTAGGTCCTTCCCAAATTTGCCCGGTTCTATTACCTTGTTGTATAATAACTGGTATTCCTATGTTTGCTCAGTGAACACTTGACGTGCCTTTGCAAGAGTTTATGACCAGGTTTACTAGTGGGGCAGGATATTTTCAACTTTTGTCAAAATCCCGGTATCACCACTATTAACATAAACAGATGACCATGGTATATTAAGTATAGAATGGGGCGGTGGGGCAGCCTAGTGGTTAAAGCGTTGGCTCGTCACGCCGAAAACCCGGGTTCGAATCCCCACATGGGTACAATGTGTGAAGCCCATTTCTGGTGTTGTTGCTGGAATATTGCTAAAAGTGGCGTAAAACCAAAACTCAGTCAGTCAGTCAGAAGTATAGAATAATGGACCTTGCCTTAACGGAAGATCAAAATTAGAGTATGTTTACCCACGTACTTCCTGTACTCTTATGATAAATGAAATGTCTCGTTACTTCGATTAGTTCCTCGTTGCTTCCAGTATATTCTCGTTACTTCAAACCATCGAAATATTAAGTTTTTGAAAGAAACTTCAATTTTCGTGTTTTTGAAGGGAACTTGAACTAACAAAAATATGCTCGAGTCATCGAGAACAAATAATAAAAATAACGAGAGCATAATCACAAGCACTGACTAAATAATCGCTGCAGTGAGTAATTTCGCTGAAAAATATATTTTATGCTACAAAAGTGTTAGCATTAGACTTTCTGAAAGGCAATCTGAAAATACCCACTTTAAAAATACAATAAGAGAGTGAAGTTGTTGTTTGGGCACACACATTAGCAAGCTCTGTTTCTATCACCAGCCGCCTACCAGGTGTCAGAGGCTCGCATGAACGCCTTCTCCTGCTCCGATGACTGCTTCAGCTACCTTGAAGGACCCTACTGCATCTCCAACGGCTCCGTCGTGTGTGACAACTGCGTCAGGGACAAGATGCTTTGCCAGTAAGATATTTTACTACAGAGTTCTGTGATCTTTTCGCCAAGCAGTACAATCAGACGGTCTGACACTAGAATTCTTGTTGAATCGAGATGAACTATTCATCCGTAATTGTAGGAGAAAACAATATTCTACCATTTTATCCATCTAATTTTCTTTTGGTTCGTGAATCGTGGGTTTTAAGTGATAATGGGATTCCAGCATAAAGTTCTACCCAATTACAAATATCAAACGAATGAGGTCTATTGTTATGGATATACAACTTCTTTATTCCATATAAGCGACGTTTCGACATAGATTCTAATGTTGTCAGCAAGGGGTGACACTTGCTTGACAACGACATTAGAATCTATGTCGAAACGTCGCCTGTATGGAATAAAGAAATTGTATATCCATAAAAATAGTCCTCCTTCTTCATCTACCCAACTTCTAGAATGCCAATCAAAGAAGAAATACATATATCACACATGTAGCGGGTCCGGTGCATGTCATTTGTTTTGAATTCCAACTTGATCTGTCCAGGTGGAATGACACCAAAACAGTCCCACATATTATGGGGGTTAACGGATAGCAGGGAACATGCAGCAATAACAGGAGTCGAGATCGACCTATTGCCAACAGGTCATATCCCTGACATTTTAGCCATAATGAGTAATTATCGATAAAAACGATCTCAATAGTGACGCACTTTAAGACGGATTGTCACTTCCGCGATGTTCCCCTGAGAATCCAGAAAGAGGAGTTATATTCACTTAAGGGAATTAAGAATCCATTCATAATCAGAGGTGATATGTTAGTTCCAAAATACTATAACGCACTTGCGTTGTCTTCTTTGCATTGAGCAATAGAACTGGCCACAACCTGTCGAATTCTTAAAGAGGCGACTCCTGGTAGTTAAAGTGTTCGCTCATATCACAGTGGTTGATTTTCATAAGGGTACATGTCAAACCCATTTTGGATGTGCAACCAGACAATATTTCTAGGAACTCACTAGTTCACTGACTTTAAAATATCACACATTATTTACAGTATTTACGGGAGTGGCTTGATTGTTCAAGTGATCAACATATCAGACGCACCGTTGAAATACAAACATGATGATCGTGTTGAAGTACTATATGGGGATTTTCACTTTCAGGGACCTCAGCCTGACCTCCAGCGACTGTAAGAGTGCCTGTGATTAGTTGGATTGACTGATGATATGACGATACAAATGTTGATGTTGATGAATGTAAACTTGATGACACATACACGAATAAATATGGTGCACTAACTTCGAGTTTGTTTCCTTTGAATACATTTCTGCAGTACGCATATTGTTCTGTGCAGTGTTGACGATCTATGTAGACATATTGGACCTTTTGAAATTAAAAAGATCAGTGACCAAAAAAGATGTCTGGTTCATTTGTTTATTTCGACTTATTCCATGTGTTCCGTTTTTGTTCGGGTGAACACTTGACCTGCTTTTGCATGTGTTTGTGATGCGAACACCTCGGAATCGTTTTTGTATTTTCAAAGTTATGGATATGGAAAGGTGTTTGTCACTTTTATTGCTGTCGCTAACTAGTACATCCGTGTACAGAATGTGGTGGAAGATAAAATAAGAATTTGCTTCAAACGTGTTTAGCAACATACTGGATGCCCAAACTGTAACATCTCATATGCCAGTGAGCCGGATTACGATTGTTAAGTCACATCTCGACCAGGAACTAAAGCATCGGCTTCAAACCCAGATTTGAGGTGGGAGGATTACAACTGACAATCATTCCGTCTTTTATTTTCACGACCGTATACTCTTAAAAAAAGTCGGGGAACTCGATTTTTAAGTCAATCAATGTTGATATGATAACAATGAATGTTTTGAGTGTGGATCACCACTTGGATTTCCTTATGACCAAAGATGTTTTTGCAGTAATCGCTCTTGAAAGATGATTGGTGTATGGCGTGAAAGTTGCAGGTGTACGATTTTTATTGTCAAACAACAACAAAAACCTTACAAGAAAGAAACACGAACAACTGTGTGATGGAAGAAAACCATCAAAATCACGAATGACACCCCATGCAGGTGTCTGGGGCAACTGCCTTGTGCATCCCTTGCGTTGCGTTTAGGGGTGGTGATAAAGAGGAATGGTTGTGCGTTCATAAGATGTCTGTCTTTGAAAGTTTTTTTAACGCTTATACTTCCTATCCAAATTCAAAGTTCAGTTCCTCTAATATTTAAAGAGTATATTACAACAAGTCATTGGTCGAACATTAGATCATGCCTTACAGGCAATGTTTATACCTGGGCTATTTACATTTCGGTTAAGCCGTAGCAGATACTTTTACTTGTTTAACGCTACATTCAGACATATTCCTTGTGCGAGACGACAGCCTGTAAATAATGAGTACGATGAGTGAACGGAAATCAGGTAAAAGTATGTTGCTGCCAAAACCTGTGAATGTAGAAAATATGTTTGGTACAGTGGCTCTTTTTTTTACATATTTCATAGCCATCTGTAGTAACTGTGTAACCGTAATAACTTTGTACTTTAATAGTCATTAGTGAAAAACTGCCCCAAGCGTTGCAATATTTGTTTGTCCATATAAATTAATTTTTACTGTTTCGAGGTGCGACATAAAGAGGCAACTCAAACATTGGAAGGGCAAGATATATGCAACTACCCTAATGTCACTCACAAAGATATTTGCATAATTCACATCTGTAATTACATGCTATCTTCATCAATGCATTCTCAACAGGTTCATTACAGTGATTAACAACTGTTTATGCTGTCACGGTCTTTTAACATAACACTTTCCTGTGATTGGTCTCTGTTGATATATGTGCGCTCAAAACTTTTAATTGCCTCATGATAGAAATGGTTACCTGACACGAGAAAGAATGTCGCTAATTTCTGAGGTAGTACTTCATGTTCATTTTAAACAGAATGAATTTATAACAAATAAACACTCAAAGAATTGTTCTGGAATTGTGTCATTGTTGGTTTTTCAGTGTCATGTTCCTAGAATTTACATGGGCATTCCTGTTAATAACATTACAAAGTAATACGATTTTGAAGTTTTAGTTAAAGCTTTTTCTATAAAAAAAATCCCAAAACGAAACCCCAGTAAAATTGCCAATTCCCTCCCACTGAACACGAAGCAGGGCGACTACTACAACCGCCTTAGTTGTGTCATCTTCAGATCTATACAATAAGATTCAAAGTGCCAAAAACTGTTGACAGCACTCTACGAGAGAGATGACTTTCCCTTTTCAACTGTCCAAATACATCACCTAAGTTTGCAGCAGCTCCAGCCTTTGGGTCTGCATTTCACAACTTTTGAGGAACAATCGATTCTATTTCATGTTTATAGAGCGTCATGCGAGTGAGTGAGTGAGTGAGTGAGTGAGTTAAAATTTTAGGTCACATCGGCAGTATTTCAGCCATATCGTGACTTTATCAAGTTATATATTTATAATAATTATAGGTAAATTATAAAAACCTGTCAACGAAGGACAGTAAAACAACTACTAGCAGTTTATCACAGTTGGAAATATAAAAACTAGTAATAAAATTTAAAACATTTTAATTGTGTCCTTTGTGTCCAAGGTGCTGGAAAAGGCTATGAAGACCCGCCTTACTGCTCATTTGAAAAAACGCAGTCTATATGAAGAATTCCAGTCAACGTATCGAAGCAATCACAGCACTGAGTCAACTTTACTTCATGTAATGGACACTCTGCTTGGAACGGTAGACTCTGGCCAGGCTTTGTGTACTTGTCCATCTTGATTTATCGGCAGCGTTCGATACGATAGATCACAAACAGCTTCTTGATTGTCTGCAAAACCTTTTTGGATTAGGCGACTCTGTTCTAAGATGGTTTTCCTCATACCTATCAGATCGATCTCAGTTTGTGCTCATCCAAAATATTAGATCTCAGACACGCAACGTTTCATGTAAGGTTCCGTATTGGGACCGAGGATATTCACTCTCTACACTAGCAGTCTCGGGGACCTTATTACTCCGCATAAAATCTTACATCATTGTTATGCTGATGATACTCAACTTTAAAGAAACCTCAATGTCAATGATGCAAAATCACAAGTTGAAGAAGTAAGTGTGTTTAGGGAATGTGAAGACATGGATGACCGCCAGTAAACTCAAACTAAACAATAACAAAACAGACATTCTCATGGCTTGTTCACCAGTCAACATAGCTAAACTGAGTGTGAACAACATTATCAATATTCATGATAAATTTGCATACTTTTACATAGTCTCATCATAACCACCTAGTTAGCTCCGACTTTGCATCGTTTGAAATCTTCCAAAAAGGATATAAGTTTGTACATTTTAGCCAGCAGTCAAGCAAATGTGCGTTCCTTTAATGCCATTTGATGCTAATCACGAAGTTGAGCGCTCAAGGTAATAACTTGTGCGCACAAGATATTAACTTGTGCGCTCAAGATGTTAACTTGTGCGCTCAACATACTAACTTGTGCGCTCAAGATATTAACTTGTGCGCTTAATATATTAACTTGTGCACTCAATATACTAACTCGTGCGCTCAAGATAAGTTTTATTTCATCAGGTCCCTTCAGCGCTTCCATATGTTCGTAAGTTTAAAAGGAACAGCCTAAAATCTCGGTATTGCACAAACTTTTGCCAGCTGATCCGGCTTCTCAAGACAATCTGATCAGCGGGGAAAGGAACGTGTCTTTACGTTTTAGAAAACATTAGACATCACAGGAAAACAATGGGAACATTGCATACTTGATATGATGTTCATGAAATAGGTTAAAAAGGAGATACAGAGAAACTTACAATCACGGAATTTAATCAGCTATGAAACAAGAAAAATAAGAACTTTGAACTTTAAGAACGTTAAAATGTTACCAGTATTAAGTAACCAACCGAAAATTAATAAGCAGAGTTGGACTTTCGTGACTTGACGTGATAGTGGACAGTTGACATTCAGACGATTAGTGTTTCTGTTTGCTTTCGTCATGGCATCACCAGACAGT